TTTGTCAATTGTATGGACGTTTCACTCCCATTTTTTTAGATATTTTTTTTGGAAAGTTAACAAATTTATTTCCATATATATAACTATACTATGCTCATCCTTGAGAATAATATATTCATTAGTTCTTTCATAAAAAATAAGATTCATGGAAATAATGTCATTATGATATCAATTATTTTTATCAAAACAATAATTGTTGAAATAATAAAAAAATATCAATTACATATTAATATTAAGTTAAAATATTTGTTATTTCATGTAAGTCTTAAACAATGATTTACAAAAGATGACTTAAGTACTGAGTTAATAGTCATATTAACAAAAAGTGAAATTCCCTTCCGCAATTCATTTTTATTAAACTTAAGGTTTATTTATTTTTAGTATATCATAAGTCTTAGAAAAATTTTGGTATAAAAAGGGAGTGAAACGTCTTGGTGTGAACTGTCTTGATCTGAACTGTCCCAACATTGAAATGTCTGTCTACCTCTGCAACAGTGCGCAACTTTTCGGTCTTTTCGCGTCGAGCTTCGACTATCGCAACTTTTCGACCCTTTCCGTCATAAGGTCAGACACATACAATGATTTTCCAATAGACTTACTCCATTATCCTACAGGTTTTCTCTGCACTTTTCAGCCAATCGCTTGCGATGTTACAAAGCGATACTCTGATGTAAATCCGGTTCACGTCCAAGAAAAACATTTTTTTTCGCAAAGTTTAAAAAATTATAAAATAGACAAAAACAGAATCCCTAAAGAAAGTCCAACACAACAAAATTGAAAATGTTGCAGGCTCGGCCAGATTGTGCCTGTTCATGGACGTTACTGGAAATCCACGACGACCTCCCCCCACCCCTAGAGCACCGGCCCAAGCAGAATCAACATTTAACACGAAAATGGTGAAATTTTGAATTTAGAAACATCCGCAGATGTGTTCATAACCCTTTATAGAATTGGTTACATCCTCTACATATTTTGGCCACTTATATATATATAAATGCTTCGAAATTTAATAATAAAAAATCATTAGAGTTAACCCTATATGAACTTCCTCGTATTTCTGAGGTATAAACCTGGGTAATATCAACAATCTTCCATATGACAGAATATGGATTTCTTCCTTAAACAGAACAATCCACATACAAAGAAAAAAATGAACGCCATGCCGTTATGGTATGTTGAATTATATTTAGCATAAACAGCTTAGTATGCTCATACTTCATGTTTACTTTACATATGTCAAAATTCAAAATCTATGTTTTAGACAACTCAGTTAAAATTATTTACCCTACTTCCAAACCGAAAAAACAGAGAAAAGGACTGTTAATCAAATATTAATGCTTGATATTAATAATAATAATAATAATAATAATAATAATGATAATTAAACATGTGTAGCGAAACTTTCCTGTAGGTTTCTTATCTTTTATCAGCTAGTTAAGGTACTAAAAATGGCTAATTTGTCTCAATACGGGAATCAAATTTAATTATTTGAGAGAATTTTTACAAAAGCCTGAATTAGAAAGCTTCCGTAAAATCATTTTTATGTTATTTATTATTTAAAAGAAATAATTACAAATAAATTTTCTTTAACTTGAATCATATATGGAGCTAAAAACATCTGTGACTAAATGTAATAATTATGATTCATTCCGCAAGTATTTCGGTAACTTTACACCTATTTTGATAAGTTCGTGCCACATTATATTATCAACCACATATAGAAAGGCCAGGCCATGTCGGAATAAGACGTTGCGAATCTCATACGACGTCGTCAAAGATAAGGCAGATAGGTCAACGGGGGTTACATAACAACTGCAAAGCGGCTAGATTTAACATCGCAGTTTTAGGTTTACTGTTCAGTTCACAAGTCTTCAAGTAAGTAAATTTTATATCAATTATATACTCAGTATGGTACATATATAGTTTATATACAGTTTACTCTTATAATTATATATATTAAACTACATATATTTTTTTACTGTCAAAGATAATTTATCTCCTTAAAATATACAAATTGCAATCATTTACTCTTATTTAACTACTAAATTTATGTTTTTGAATATATATAGTTCTATAGAAACGAGACATGGCTGTCATTATTTCACTGTAAATATATTTAATTACATGGCATATTTCCTGTATGTTATATTATTTATCAGCGTATATTTATATAAATGATATTTAAATATTATTGAATAAGGACAAATTATGTATCAAAATGCACTATATGATATATCTGATAGTTTTTAATACATTAATGACGTAATAAAATCCTTTTTACTGAATTAATAATATCTTCTTTTTATCTATAATTTTATTTCATTTTTTTACATACGTCAGATATGTGAAAATATGTCCAGCACTGATTTCAGGACAACATACTGATGATTAGATAACGTTTTATGCATACGCATTAGATAACAATAGTGTCGAGATCATTTCTTTGTCTAAATATTTGTATACATTAGCTTTCTCGATTCTTCCACACCACATTCATTAAAATTCATAGTTGATCAGATAGAACGCTTCTTATTTCGGTATCATAATTTCCAAGACTTTTATAGCACTAAAATCACAACTATATTATATTTATTAACCGCAGATTTCATTGTATGAAAATTACCATATTTCGCTCGTGGCTACCGCAATTTGTAAAATATTTATGAGATTTATAATGTTCATCTATTTCTTCTATCATTTCTCAAACATACCTTTTACTTTTCAATATTAACTGTTGGTTACTTTGCGTAACTGCATATATAATTGCTACTTTAATACTTTCAGTAGTTAAGGTTTGTTTATATCGTACTTTTTTACAATCTATCGTCTTCATTGGAACACATTTATTCCTCTTTTTAATTTCACATTTATAGGTTTATTTCCACAGAGTATTAGTCAAAAATATGAATTTTGAGCCAAAAGTAGGTCCAATGAGAACCTACATGTAGCCTGAGACAATATGGAAAGGGGGTAGTTGAAAAAGCCTGTTGGTGCCAAGCCAAGGGCCTGCTTTTCAACTCGCCACTCTCTGCACATGTGCTAGGGGATCACACTCCTTAGCAAACTTTCCTCGCCCCCCTGCCTAGTTTGTCGAGCCACTCCCCTCGGCTGTAGTCAGTGCATAAGTTCCGGTTATGTTTTTCACCATGCAAATTCTAAAAATCTTTTGCCGAAGGTACCTTCTCAACGACGTGCACATACCGAGGTGAAGAGAGAAGTATAAATTAAACCTGTATTATATTTATATTATCTTTGCAGGTATGATTCGTACATTAACTTTTGTCTTGTTGATCGTCTGTGTTATCGATGTAAGCTATGGGTACGTAATTTATGTTTGTCATTAAAAACAAAAAAAAAATTAAAAAAAAACAAAAACAAAAAAAACGATACACACGCGCGTTTTCAAACCCTATTATAGTGACTGATTTGGGCCATGTCGTATAAATGCTCCGCGGAGCGCCAAACGATAGTTTGTCTGATTTAATTCAACGTAAACATTTACAATGATAGAGTCGAGTCTTGAAGATGTGATGCTCGCCGTAATTTGTTATGTGTTTAAAGGTAAATGCAATTCCAGCAAGTTACCAAATGTCCATTTTTATCTTTTAAAGTAAAAATTGCCTAGTCATATAAGAATTAATATATGTAAAAGAAACGTTGATTTTAGAGCTGTATCATTAAAACCGTACAACGAGACGGCAAGTGGAATGTTTGCTGCCACCGACTATGATAGTGATGGTGTGATAACGAGGGTAGAAATTGAAGCTAGCTTCGATAAATATGATGCTAACGGTAAGAGAATCATAATTATATTCGTGTACATAGAATGTTACAAGTACATGTTTTGAACTTAAGCATGTCTATTTCTCAGTTTTATGCTAAGTTTTCAACGATTATGAATAGTAAGTAATACGCTATGCACAACGGTGACACAATGTTCCGAGAACATAAAAAAGAAGTTACTTCAGCTTCCATTTTTTGGAAGTATTTTGGTGGTATCGGTATGGTATAAAGCCTGATTGCGCAGATTGGCATTACTCAGTACTGTGGGTAATTAATTCGGTTCCAGCATGGTAAGGGTTAAATGATAAAGTTATACATTTTATCCTAGCAGGACTCTTTGTTTCGTTCGTCCACTCGGAAATTGTTTCGGATTAAAAAAGAGATTTTTGTTTGCTTAATTTTTTTAATAAATTGCTTAATCAATCTTCATGTTTGTAATACCTGTTTGAATGTCTTTGATATTTCATTCGTTTTTTCACTTTAAATGATAGGACATGCAGACATTTCAGTTGCAAACAAATGTTATAAAACCAGCAGTCTTACATAAAAATAAATAATTATCCAACAGGTGATGGCAAAGAATCCCGCCACGAGTATACAGAGTTCGTCTGCGCCACATCTCCAATTCTCTATCAACTGTCACACTATCTGTATGATGAATATGATTCAGACGGTGATCATCATCTAGAGAAACATGATTATGATGCTCTCTTTGACAAGATGGATACAGATAGTAAGTTTGATTAATTAAAGAAAAAACCTATCCGTGGACATCTCGCTCTACACATGTCCCCAGTGTTAAAGTGTGATTAAACCAAAGACGACATAAAGATGGCATAATTCTACAAGTGATATAAGTAGAATGACCTGTCCTTGAGTGCAATTATTAAGTATTTTAAATTTGAAGCAAATTATCTGGAAAAAAAATGAATAAAAATAAGGCAAATACCTGAAAAGGGAGATAATTAACCAGACATTCAGGGGTATCTGCCCTTCAGGAATGCATTTCAATTTTCATAAGTTTCTAGTGAATATCTATGATAACTTTTAAGCATTGAAAAACCTTGACAAATGGTGTAACCAAGTGTCGAAAAAGGGGCATAACTGAGATAACATGAATGCTATCCTACTTTTACTTTGTTTAATTCTACTGTTTTCCTGAGGAAACGATTTCACGAATGTGCTCTATACCTAGAATCTCATTCATCTTAGCGGCTAGAACATTGTCGACCTGGCTGAACAGATCATGCCAAATATTTAAAAATATTAGATAATAATTAGATAATATATACCTACGACATGTGAATTATTATACCACTATTTCAGAGGACGGCAGTGTGACAGAAGATGAATTTATCAGCTATTGGGAAGTGGTATAAAATATTTAATTCATAAGCATTCTCATAACTTTTTTTCATTCATGATATATATTTGAATGCATTAAGTGTTTGCAATCCTATAAGGCAGATCAGTTTACATTGTAGCTATAGATTATCTCTAGTGAGATTGCAAAATAAACAATGTTCTTTATGGTAGCATTGACATGATTATATTCAGAGAAAAGGCGTTAATATATTACAGACAAATGCGTAAATGTAAAAAAAATGTTCGCACAAAAACAACAACAAACACAACAACAACAACAAAACGGAAGATTAATAACATTTTATCCTTAGACATAATGTACCAAAACGATATAAGAATAATAGAAATTCTGTATACGTTCTATAATCTATTCCTTCAGGTATTCCCAAAGTACGAGACCGTTGGACAGCACGGACAATCACACCTACACGGACATTCCGCTTGCCATTAAATCTATTGCTTATCAACTAAAGCTCTACATTGAAGAATGTCAAATAAATATTTAGAAACACAGAGTAAATTATTATTAGATTATTTTTTTGTTATCAAATAATTGAATTTGAAAACATGCATTTTCCAAATATTGACAACTTGAACACCGTATATAATATCCGTAACACAGGAACGCAAGGGCGAATAGTGTTAAGTGAACTTGTATATCAAATTAAAAGAAATGAATTGGTGCATACGGCTGCTGACATGTTTTATAAATATATTACCATGAATTTGCTTTTCAAGATCATTCGTGAGTATGACAACCTGGCGCAGTTAGCTTCCGTGGGTCGGTCTATTTACACCAAGACACCCAAGAAACTTATATATTGTGTAAATTTGCAAAATGGGCCTTCAGGATGAATAGTAATTAATTTGAAATTTCAAAAATCTTAAATGTTCTCACTTTTTTTATTGAAGTAAACAGATATCAGTTATAAGCAATAGTTCATTATGTTACTATGTTTGCAATATATACATTTATCACACACCCGATTTTGCGACTCAGTAAAAATGGTATTGCACGGCCGTCCATACATTTTGACGAGAGTATAAATGGTATTGTACGGCCGTGCATACATTTTGACGTGACGTCATTAGCGTTATAACATAGTGTAAAGACGCGCTAAATGTTAGCGTTATACTATAGGCGCGTTGGTGAAAAATGACTCTTTTTTCAATTTAAACGGTCTTTATTTTGGTGTGTGATGAATAGAATATTAAAGTCGTGCAAGTTCATTACTGAATTTATTGAACTCTTTGAATGAAATCATATTACAAGAGGGCCATGATGGCCCCGAGTCGCTCACCAGAAACAACTGCTTTTCAGTGTTGGAATGGAATGTCAATACATTCTAATATTAAATTTGAGCATAGAATATGTTTAAACAATAATCTGAAGAAATGCAATGACCTGGGGCATTTAAGCTTTAGCTTAAACGGGGCTAATCAAATTAATATGAGCAAACTTGAAAAAAGACTACCTAAGAATGCTACAAAGTTTGGTGATCATCTATCAATCATTTCATTAGGAAATGATGTCCGAAGGTTTTTTCTATTTTTAGCTTTAGTGGCCCCTAAAATGGGCTAATCAAATTAATATAAGCAAACTTGATAAAAGAGTACCCAGTAATGCTACAGACAAAGTTTGGTGATCATCCATCAATTTGTTCTGAAGTAGAAGATGTTTGAAGGTTTTTCTATTTTTAGCTTTAGCGGCCCCTAAAAGGGGCCAATCAAATTAATGTGAGCAAACTTTATAAAAGATTACCCAAAAATGCTACAGACAAATTTTGGTGATCATCCATTTATTAGTTCTGTAGGAGAAGATGTTTAAACGTACATTGTATTTCTATTTTTAATTTTAGCGGCCCCTAAAAGGGGCTAATCAAATTAATATGAGCAATCTTGATAAAAGACTACCCAATAATGCTACAGACAAAGTTTGGTGATCATCCATCACTTAGTTTTGTAGCAATAGACTTTTAAACGTATATCTATTTTTAATTTTAGCGGCCATTAAAAGGGGCCAATCAAAATAATATGAGCAAACTTGATAAGACTACCTAAGAATGCTACAGACAAAGTTTGGTGATCATCCATCACTTAGTTTTGTAGCAATAGACTTTTAAACGTATATCTATTTTTAATTTTAGCATCCCCTAAAAGGGGCCAATCAAAATAATATGAGCAAACTTGATAAAAGACTACCTAAGAATGGTACAAAGTTTGGTGATCATTTATCAATCATTTCATTAGGAAATGATGTTCGAAGATTTTTCTATTTTTAGCTTCAGTGGCCCCTAAAATGGGCTAATCAAATTAATATAAGCAAACTTTATAAAAGAGTACCCAAAAATGCTACAGACAAAGTTTGGTGATCATCCATTTATTAGATCTGTAGGAGAAGATGTTTAAACGTATTTCTATTTTTAATTTTAGCGGCCCCTAAAAGGGGCTAATCGAATTTATATGAGTAAACTTGATAAAAGACTACCCAATAATGCTACAGACAAAGTTTGGTGATCATCCATCCATTAGTTCTGTAGAAGAAGATGTTTAAATGTTTTTCTATTTTTAGCTCTGCTGACCCCTTAAAGGGGCTAATTGGAATGACATGAACAAATTCAAGTGTGACTGTCACAAGGATGATACAGACCAAATTTGAAGTAAATCTGCTTAGTAGTTTCAGAGAAGAAGACGATTGTTGACGCATGACGTCGGAGCATCCCCATTTGATACTAATAGCTCACCCTGAGCCTTTGGCTCTGGTGAGCAAATAATCGCCTGAGGCTCGCATACATCTAATATAATTTTATTCAACATTTGCAATACATTCAGTATTGAACTTACTCATTCAATATCCACTATGTATATTTTTCATAATGAACAAAGGTCAAAATTCAAGGCGAAAGTATTTGTTTCTTATTACAGGAATTCGACTATAATTTTAGAAACGAGCTCGCTATACGCGATGTTAACTGTAATCCAATAACTAGCATGTATCTGTCACAATAACTATTATGTATCTGTCACAATAACTAGCAGGTATCTGTCACAATAACTAGCACGTATCTGTCACAATAACAAGCACATATCTGTCACAATAACTATTATGTATCTGTCAAAATAACTAGCAGGTATCTGTCACAATAACTAGCACGTATCTGTCACAATAACAAGTATGTATATGTCACAATAACTAGCATGTATCTGTCACAATAACTAGCATGTATCTGTCACAGTAACTATTATGTATCTGTCACAATAACTACTATGTATCTGTCACAGTAACTAGCACGTATCTGTCACAATAACTAGCATGTATCTCACAATAACTAGCATGTATTTGTTACAATAACTAGCATGTATCTGTCACAATAACTAGCATGTATTTGTTACAATAACTAACATGTATCTGTCACAATAACTAGCATTATCTGCCACAAAACTAGCATGTATCTGTCACAATAACTAGCACGTATCTGTCACAATAACTAGCATGTATCTCACAATAACTAGCATGTATTTGTTACAATGACAAGCATGTATCTGTCACAGTAACTAACATGTATCTGTCAAAATAACTAGCATGTATCTGTCACAATAACTAGCATGTATCTGTCACAATAACAAGCATGTATCTGTCACAATAACTAGCATTTATCTGTCACAATAACTAGCATGTATCTGTCAAAATAACAAGGACGTATCTGTCACAGTAACTAACATGTATCTGTCACAATAACTAACATGTATCTGTCACAGTTACTAGTATGTATCTGTCACAATAACTAGCATGGATCTGTCACAATAACTAGAACATATCTGTCACCGTAACTAGCATGTATCTGTCACAGTTACTTATATATGTATCTGTCACAATAACTAGCATGTACCTGTCACAATAACAAGCATGTATCTGTCACAATAACTAGCATTTATCTGTCACAATATCTAGCATGTATATGTCACAATAACTAGCACGTATCTGTCACAATAACTAGCATGTATCTGTCAAAATAACAAGGACGTATCTGTCACAGTAACTAGCATGTATCTGTCACAATAACTAGCATGTATCTGTCACAGTTACTTACATGTATCTGTCACAATAACTAGCATGTATATGTCACAATAATTAGCATGTATCTGTCACAGTAACTAACATGTATCTGTCACAATAATTAGCATTTATCTGTCACAATAACTAGCATGTATCTGTCCCAATAACTAGCACGTATCTGTCACAATAACTAGCACACATATGTCACAATAACTAGCATGTGTCTGTCACAATAACTAGCACGTATCTGTCACTATAACTAGCATGTATATGTCACAATAACTAGCATGTATCTGTCACAGTAATTAACATGTATCTGTCACAATAACTAGCATTTATCTGTCACAATAACTGGCATGTATCTGTCACAATAACTAGCATTTATCTGTCACAATAACTAGCATGTATCTGTGTCACAGTAACTAACATGTATCTGTCACAGTAACTAACATGTATCTGTCACAATAACTAAATGTATCTGTCACAATAACTAAATGTATCTGTCAGAATAGCCAGTATGTATCTGTCACCGTAACTAACATGTTTCTGTCACAATAATTAGCATGTATCTGTCACAGTAACTAGCATGTATCTGTCACAATAACTAGCATGTGTCTGTGTCACAGTAACTAACATGTATCTGTCACAGTAACAACATGTATCTGTCACAATAACTAGCATGTATCTGTCACAAAAACTAGCATGTGTCTGTGTCACAATAACTAACATGTATCTGTCACAGTTACTAACATGTATCTGTCACAGTAACAACATGAATCTGTCACAATAACTAGCATGTATCTGTCACAATAACTAGCATGTATCTGTCACAGTAACTAGCATGTATCTGTCACAACAAGCAAATTCGTTGAATTTATATCCCCCGTCGAGTACTGGTTATTATTAACACAACAACTGAAGACATAAGGCTTTATTTATATATTAAATCGGACTAACAATGGAAAAACAAGCCAAATAAACTAGCATCTGTCACAAAGAAACTAGCATGTGTGCTGAAGCAATAACTGAACATGGTATCTGTCACAGGTTCTACATGTATCTGTTTCACAGTAATATACATGTTCTGTACAATATACTGCATTTTATCAAATAACTAGCATCCAGCAGTAATTGTCACAACAAGCAATTCGTTGAATTATATCCTCCCGTTGTAGAGAATAAGGCTTACTCCGGAAAAGCGAATTCAAGGATGGGTTGAATTCGGACACGCCAAAACTATATCCCCCTCCCGATTCCATCGGCGGGGGATAATAACTAACATGTATGTGTCACAGTAACTAACATGTATCTGTCACAATAACTAGCATGTATCTGTGTCACAGTAACTAACATGTATCTGTCACAACAACTAGCAGGTATCTGTCACAATAACTAACATGTATCTGTCACAACAAATAGCGTGTATCTGTCACAATAACTAACATGTATATGTCACAGTAACTAGCATGTATCTATCACAATAACTAGCATGTATCTGTAACAGTAACTAGCATGTATCTGTCACAATAACTAGCATGTATCTGTCACAGTAACTATTATGTATCTGTCACAATAACTAGCACGTATCTGTCACAATAACTAGCATGTATCTGTCACAGTAACTATTATGTATCTGTCACAATAACTATTATGTATCTGTCACAATAACTATTATGTATCTGTCACAATAACTAGCAGGTATCTGTCACAATAACTAGCAGGTATCTGTCACAATAACTATTATGTATATGTCACAATAACTAGCATCTGTCACAATAACTATTATGTATCTGTCACAATAACTAGCATCTGTCACAATAACAAGCACATATCTGTCACAGTAACTAGCATCTGTCACAATAACAAGCACATATCTGTCACAGTAACTAGCATCTGTCACAATAACTAGCATGTATATGTCACAATAACTAGCATATATATGTCACAATAACTAGCATGTATCTGTCACAATAACTAGAACATATCTGTCACAGTAACTAACATGTATCTGTCAACTTGAACATTCATCACACTGATGTAAGAAAATTTATTTTCATTATCAAAATTCAAATTTTGAAGATGTGATGCTCTGTGACATTCAGGAAAAATAACAGGCCTGTAGATAAACATTTATTTGTCCTTATTTGGAGCATACTTGAATGAACCATAAAACAGAATCCCTAAAGATTGCCCAACACGGCAAAATTGAAAATGTTAAAAGCTTGGTTTGATTGAGCCTGTTCATAGACGGTAAAGTTTGCTTGCCAGAACCAGGAACAGTATTAAGTAAGGACACAGTGTCATGACAACTGACAATAGTAGGGCTCAACCTGACAATACAGACAGACATCATCATCTTAAGACCAACACTTCATATAGACATCCTTCATTGTAAATGTTAGTCTGAGAAATAATACACTAACTAGTCACAGAAATATTTTGTGGAAACTATCAAGATACTAAAGCATTTTTCATTACTATGTCCAAAATTTTTCATCAAGTAAATAAAATAATCAAGAACGTTAGTGCATTATAAGACATTTTATTTTTTTCAATAGGGATCTTTCTACAGCTTAACTTCATTGTATTAGCAGACATCAAGTTAATTATCAAATCGTATCAATTTATTCAGGGAATATACAACAAGAGCTGTCAGAAGGACAGCGCGCTCGACTTTTTTAGTGCTTGCCTATAAAACAAAACTTTGACAGTTAAGGGCACACAAGACTTTAACTAGGAATTTCTAAGTACAAATCAAGAAACATTTTCACAGAGTTATCTTCTCTTGCTTACAGATAGGTCTCATGATGGCACATAAGAACTCCAACTTCCAAAGTAATATCTCAAATGGTTAAGTCAACAAGTGGACAAGAATGAAAATCTTAACTGAGTTTCTAAGTCAAAAGGGCCATAATTCAAATAAAATCCTTAACAGAATTACCTTCTCCTGCCCATGTTTTGGGACCATGATGGTAAACAAGTATTCCAACTTTCAAATTAATATCTCAAACAGTTCAGTCAAAAAGTGGACTGGTACTAAAAACTTAACCAAGATTCTAAGTCGATAAAAAGGCCTTAATTTTTTAAAACAAATCCTTGACAGAGTTACCTTCTCTTGCGTACAGATGGGGGTAATGATGTGAAATAGCATTAAAAGTTTCAAAGCAATATCTCAAAGGGTTAAGGCAATAAGTGGATTTTACCCATATTCAATGTATTTTCTAAGTCAAAAAGGGGCATAATTCTGTCAAAAACCTTGACAGAGTTATGTCCTCTTGTCTGTTGATGAAGGTCGTGATGGTAAACAAGTATGGTCAGTTTCAAAGCAATACCTCCAATGGTTTTGAAATAAAGTGAGGTGGTACAAAAAACTTAACCAAGCTCAATACACTTTCTAAGTCAAAAAAGGGCCATAATTCTGTCAAAAACCTTGACAGAGTTATGTACTCTTGTCTGTAGATGGAGGTTATGATGGTGAACAAGTATGGTAAGTTTCAAAGCCATACTTGTAATACTTCTGAAATAAAGTGGGGTGGTACGAAAAACTTAACCAAGGTGTGACGCCAACGCTAACGCCGACGCCGGGGCGAGTAGGATAGCTCCCCTTTTCATAGAAAAGTCCAGCTAAAAATACATACAATATTGTCACATATATCAACTTGCATATATATAAAAACACACAAAAAATGCAACAAACAATAATTATAAAATTAATTAGTATGCTTTATGTTACCCTAGGATTGCCCATTAAGCTAAAAGCTTATTTCCAATGGGTTCCATTTACTGTAAAATTATCACACTTACTAACACACATTTTCCGATATAATAAGATATATATTACAACACTTACAATATTTCTAATCATTGCAATTAGTCATTTCATAAGTATAAGCTCTATGTATTGCATTTAATCGCGTTAAACTGGAAATTCATTATCAAAAATGGAATAGAATTTCCCAGATACGAAAATGTAATATATGAAAATATCTTACTTGCATGAAATATATAACAATAATGAATTATGTTTAAAAGTAGTCAAAAACTATAGATGTATCTTCTGTATTTTGTTTTGTTCTTCTGTATTTAACTTCACCCTCTTTACTTTCCCTTTTTGTTTTTAATACAAGTTAATACTAATACGAGTATTGTATCGCTGATGGTACCCAAAATGTATGTGTGCTGTTAGTATGTGCGTTATGTTCAAAATATGTATATATATCTTGTTGGTATTTATGAATTGGAAATGTGGGTGTATGGGTTCGGATGTGTGTGCATGCATGTGCGTGAAAAAAAAGTCTTTTTGACCTTGCTTTTGTATTACCTGGACTGAAGTTTATTATATATTATGTACATTTTATTACTGTATGATCACAGAGAAGAAAAAAAGTATTAGCTCTATGATATACATTTATAGTTTATTTCAAAAGCAACTTTTCAGAATCACATAATTTCTTGATTTTAAAGCAGACAAAAAAACCACAAGTCAGATCACAGTACAGAAAAACATGAAGTTTATTGTCTCCTTACAAAACATAGCCTTACCATATGCTTCCTCATTCTTACAAACATGGCCTTAACATAACCTTCCTCATACTTACAAACATGGCCGTAACATATCCTTCCTCATACTTACAAACATAGCCGTAACATATGCTTCCTCATACTTACAAACATGGCCGTAACATATCCTTCCTCATACTTACAAACATGGCCTTAACATATCCTTCCTCATACTTACAAACATGGCCTTAACATATGCTTCCTCATACTTACAAACATGGCCGTAACATATCCTTCCTCATACTTACAAACATGGCCTTAACATATGCTTCCTCATACTTACAAACATGGCCGTAACATATCCTTCCTCATACTTACAAACATTGCCTTAACATATCCTTCCTCATACTTACAAACATAGCCGTAACATATGCTTCCTCATACTTACAAACATGGCCGTAACATATCCTTCCTCATACTTACAAACATGGCCTTAACATATGCTTCCTCATTCTTACAAACATAGCCTTAACATATGCTTCCTCATTCTTACTAACAAAGCCTTAACATATGCTTCCTCATTCTTACAAACATAGCCTTCACATATGCTTCCTCATTCTTACTAACATAGCCTTAACATATGCTTCCTCATACTTACAAACATAGCCTTAACATATGCTTCCTCATTCTTACTAACATAGCCTTAACATATGCTTCATCATTCTTACTAACATAGCCTTAACATATGCTTCCTCATTCTTACAAACATAGCTTTAACATATGCTTCCTCATTCTTACAAACATAGCCTTAACATATGCTTCCTCATTCTTACAAACATAGCCTTAACATATCCTTCCTCATACTTACAAACATAGCCTTAACATATGCTTCCTCATACTTACAAACATAGCCTTAACATATCCTTCCTCATACTTACAAACATGGCCTTAACATATCCTTCCTCATACTTACAAACATAGCCTTAACATATCCTTCCTCATACTTACAAACATGGCCTTAACATAACCTTCCTCATACTTACAAACATGGCCTTAACATAACCTTCCTCATACTTACAAACATGGCCTTAACATAACCTTCCTCATACTTACAAACATGGCCTTAACATATCCTTCCTCATTCTAACAAAGGTCTGAAAAGTTTCATAAGAGAATATTCAAAGGTACAATGTTCACTTGGTCTCACATCAGACTTAGCTATTGTTTCCAGGAAGACATTTTTCTATATTTCCTTCGTCTTACAGCCAATAAGTTTATTAAATGTTTCCAAGGAAACCTTTACAAAACATAATTTCATTCATTCTTACATTTTACAAGTTGATCTACTGATTGTTCTCTCTGTTGGTCTTACATTTTACAAGTTGATCTACTGATTTTCCCCTCTGTCGTTCTTACATTTTACAAGTTTTTGATCTACTGATTGTTCCCTTTGTCGGTCTTACATTTTACAAGTTGATCTACTGATTGTTCCCTTCGTCGGTCTTACATTTTACAAGTTGATCTACTGATTGTTCCCTTTGTCGGTCTTACATTTTACAAGTTGATCTACTGATTGTTCCCTTCGTCGGTCTTACATTTTACAAGTTGATCTACTGATTGTTCCCTTCGTCCAGTCTTACATTTTACAAGTTGATCTACTGATTGTTCCCACGGAGACCTTTTCTAGGCATATGTTTCCTTGGTTTTACAGCAGACAAACCCTTTGATTTTACAATCTCATCCACATATGGTATTCTTTCACCTTTCTGTAATAAACACAATAATATATGTAGAACATGAAGCTAATAGAGATTCATAAAGTCACAGAGTCTGCTACATAAAATAAACAAACAAAGTCATTGGTAAATTAATGTACTTGCAGGATGCTCCCATAACCTGTTAGAAACTGTATGCTAATATGGAGAGAAATTTAACCAATATCAGCTACATTAATTCCAGCCTGAGTAATGACTAACCTGAGTAATGGCTCACCTGAGTAATGACTCACCTGAGTAATGACTAACCTGAGTAATGGCTCACCTGAGTAATGGCTTACCTGAGTACTAGGCTTATGACTGACCTGAGTAATGGCTTATCTGAGAAATGACTAACCTGAGTAATGACTGACCTGAGTAATGGCTTACCTGAGTAATGACTCACCTGAGTAATGGCTTACCTGAGTAATGGCTAACCTGAGTAATGGCTTACCTGAGTAATGGCTTACCTGAGTAATGACTAACCTGAGTAATGGCTTACCTGAGTAATGTAAGACATGTAAGCTTGTTATTGTTTCTGAAATATTCTATTTTTTATTTATTAAATAATTACCTTTTGTCATTTTTAGCATATAAGTAATGTATACGCAATATTCCTATTCAAATAAGGACAGTAAAGTAATTATATTGTTTTCAGCATTCTAATACGCGGAAAGTCCGAGCGGGGCCGAAGGCCCCGCGAGGGCTGTAGCGCTCTTAGATAACATGTATGAAGCGTATCAATTCAAAAGAAATCAAATTAAAAGTTAATGAAAAATTCAAAAAAATATATATCCCAAACCTAATGAGCTGCGAAAAAATCCTTAGTTAGCGGGCGCCGCCATTTTGAAATCTATGTTGTAAAACGCTTGACAAGCGCCTCTTGTAAAACGCTTAACAAGCGCCTCAATGGCTGAATATTTAGACTGGTTTAAATGTTATGAATAGCGGGCGCTTTTTGATTTTCATTCCGAAAAGCGTGTAAACTACACTGATTTTTTATCATTAAACGGCCCAGTCGTCTGCTTTTTTATCGCTGTCGTCTCAACAGGTTGAACGGTACTATTTTGGCATAATTACATTTTCCTATTTAAAGTCCTAGAATTATATTTACTTTTGCATATTTGGACTACCACAAATTTTACATGTTTCTTTTTGTACATTTAAATATATTTTAACATTTTTAATTAAGTTACTTATGCAAGTTTATGCAATAACTTGAGCTAGTCCTACTGGACTATACTGTATACAACTATACCAGTTCTAAATATGTTTAAGTGAAATTCCAAGCATATTTTCACTTGATTTCAATAATTTTTCTGAAGAAAAAAAATTCATAAAAATTATATAGACTCTACCAGATCTTATGCATTATTTTCACACTTAATAATTGTCTACATTCAGCAAGCATACTGGTAAATAACTATGTCTATTTTCAACAAGCATAATTATTGGCTGGACAACAATATTGTAGTAAATCAATTCCAAGAACTTCAAACAAAAAAAGTTAAACATTCAAATGAAATATACCAAGAAAACAATTATTGTACAGAAGTAAATAATGATTAACAGGCCTCTACACAGGTATATTTACTCTCTCCAAATCAATCTGAGCATTTACATATGCAGAATGATAATTACAATGACCATAATTATTGTCTGAACAACAATGTCAACCACTAACTGATACACTTTCACAAATATAAATATCAGAGAAAATATACTTTCCATTATATCTCCAACAGCACATTTCATCACATTCAATTATTTTTCAATTAAACAACTTTTTCTTACAGGCATCTATGGACAAAACTAGATAGTTTAAAAGGGACTAATAACAGAAGATTTTTTGGTGGGTGGTATGTCAACCACTAACTGATACACTTTCACAAATATAAATATCAGAGAAAATATACTTTCCATTATATCTCCAACAGCACATTTCATCACATTCAATTATTTTTCAATTAAACAACTTTTTCTTACAGGCATCTATGGACAAAACTAGATAGTTTAAAAGGGACTAATAACAGAAGATTTTTTGGTGGGTGGTATGTCAACCACTAACTGATACACTTTCACAAATATAAATATCACATAAAATAAACTTACAATTGTATATGTACTTTCACCAATACATTCAATTACTAGTATTCATGTATTTTTCTAAATCTACATTAAACATATTTTCATCATTTCGTCTACATCTTCCTCTCAACATTTTTTGTCATAATGATTTTTTTAATTGATGACATGTTTATTATTTCTATGTTTCTTTTCAAAATATTCCATGACATTAAATGTCATCATGACATTTCACCACTGATTAAAAGAATCTGTCTAGATTTAGAATTTAACACCATGAATAGCTACAAAACTGTATATCAACTATTTATTTAGACACTAATAAAAAGAATTTAAAGTCCTACCCATATGTTGCTCATTTTGAATATTATCAATGTATTTTTTTCTTACTAGCATGCTTTTTTTACTTAATCACATGTATATATATGTAATTCAAACATTCATGTTATTAATTCATATTGCATATTTCTTTTATGATTATTAAGCTAAATTTTATCATCAATTATTCACATTTGTAATCAATACTTTTAACATTTATTGATCACAGTTCTTGGAATTGGTTAATAGTTTGTCAAATTTTCTTTAAATATTGTCATATAAATACATTTTAATATATTTAAACTATGTAGTTTTTTTTCCACATGAAACAGTGAAAAACTTTTTCTGTTTTTTTCTTTTCACAGATGAATCATCTGATATTTGCAACTGACTCAAGAGGGCGTATCATATAAAAATTTGTATGATGGTGTTCATGCAGATGAACATCTAAAGAGAAATGGTTCACATTTCTTTGTCATTCTGTAGAAAATGATTTAAGGTCTTGGGACTTTAAACAATAAAAAACATTCCTGTTACACAGTACTTAAATACATAAGGACAATCATCAAAATTTCAATTTAAATTTGCTTACATAACTGAACGTCTTTTAATGTTAATAAATATTCTGTAGTGTGGGACATGTCAGTCTCTAACCAACAGAAACATTTAATTAAAAAGTATAAATCTATCGTTATTAAATACCAGCTATATATAAATACCAGCTATATTCAATAATTATACGGGGAAGTCAAAGACCGGGCCCGCAAAGCGGGTCCGGGCTTTGGCTTGCCCGGCTATTGACTACACGTGTATATTTAAAAGTAAATCAAATAAAAAACAATTAAAAAATATATAGAATTCTATACCTATCAATGAAATTTTCAGTGTCACTTTAGTCGGGCGCCGCCATTTACAATGTAACTTAATGATAATAGGCGGGGTATTCCGATAACGGAACAAATCTCAACTTTTCGGATAAATGATAATCGTCGAGTATTCCGAGTGAAAACGGAAGCGGTGCATGTAATACCGAATGACACCTTCAAAACGGAAAGAATGAAAGGAATTTTTCATTATTACCATTACATTGTGTTAGATAATGTAAATATTCAAAATATATACATGTATTTGTTTACTATATATATATACATGTTTTTTTTGTTGTTTTTTTTTCTTTAATTTTTTAAATGTTGATGAATGTTCTGAAGTGTGGGACATGTCAGTCTCTAACCACCAGAAACATTTCTTAAACAAAAAAAGTATAATTCAATTTTCAAGGTTTATTATCTTTAAACACCAGAATATTTAAAAATGAAACAAAAATTTTAAAATCACATAATTTTGATCAGAGGTAGTGTTGAACATTATCAATATAATTCAGTTAGATAATTTCTTTGATACTGCATAATTTACATGAAGATCTACATGACTTTCCGCGCCATAGGTAGCACCTAATTTCATATTAGTTTACTATGTATAAACGTTCCTAAAATTGAATGTTACCTTTCTCCGAATTTCATGTTAGATTGTTGACATTTTAGGAAGCACGATTATTTCTTTATTCCTGGATTAACATGTCTGTTACTCCACATTTTTGTAGTATCCATTATGTTTTGATGTTATAATCAGTAATTGTTCATGAAACATTCTCTAATCAATTTATTTTGTCTAAATAATAATTCCTAAAACTTTCCCAAAATGTTCATGGAGGCTGCCATCTTTGTTTTAGGTACACGAGTACCGATATCTGTAGTTTGTTTAGAAATTAAGCATATTTGACTTTATTCTGTAACATGTATTTTGTATTATGTGATTATAATGTTTGCTTCTCAAATAGTTCAAGAGATTTACTGTAATAGTTTATTTGTGTAAAACAAGACCGCACTATTTGTTCGGTCATTCGCGTAGTAAAGTTGGGTTGTGGAATCACCCTAATTCTCTTTAAATTGTAATAATCCTGCTAAATTACCATAAGTATTTAATTGAGATGTATTTAATAGCGTAAGTGTTATTTCTCAACATAATGATTACTTACAACTTTATATGTATACTTTGTATTTTGTAATTATGATCTGTTGAGCTATTTACTCATTTTAGGATGGGAATTCCTAACCGATTCTGATTGGCTTAGATAATTCCTAAGTGCAATCTGATTGGTCGAGAATCCTATCCTGAATTCCTAAACGGCTCAAAGGTTATAAATAGAGCGACAGTCCTCATTTTGGAACAACAACGCCCACTAAAGTTGCTTAGGCGCGATAATTCAAAACTGAGCAGAAAACATCAAAACTGAATTTTAGTAAGTTTCTATTTAGGAAAGACTCCTAAATCACATTGGAATATGTATTAAACTTTTATTAAGCAACTTTTCCTGAATGAGAGCTGACGTACTTCATGTTATAACTTTTAATCCTAAACTAAACGGATATTAGACCAAAGAATCCAAACTTGATAAAAGCGTTGTTTACTTATATTTTAGGAAATCATAAAATCACTTAACATAGCGCCTTATGAAATGATGCCGAAACTTATTTCTGTATATTGATGATAAGATATATTAAATGTTAGAATATATATGCAGTTTATGTATACAAAACTATGTATACACTATTAAACCAAAGAATTGAAACTTGATGAAAGCGTTGTATTATTTATTCCGGAAATCCTAAAGAGAAGTCTACTAATATAACATTGAAACCGTGTGCTGTATATAACTGATGCTAAGTTAGCATATAATGTTTATACAGTAGAACTTGTGGCGTATTTTTGAAACAGCTATCCTGACACTGCGGCAAAAGTACGTTACAGTAATGACTAACCTGAGTAATGGCTTACCTGAGTAATGACTAACCTGAGTAATGACTCACCTGAGTAATGGCTTACCTGAGTAATGGCTTACCTGAGTAATGACTCACCTTAGTTATGACTCACCTGAGTAATGGCTTACCTGAGTAATGGCTTACCTGAGTAATGACTAACCTGAGTAATGGCTTACCTGAGTAATGACTAACCTGAGTAATGACTTACCTGAGTAATGGCTTACCTGAGTAATGACTGACCTGAGTAATGGCCTACCTGAGTAATGACTAACCTGAGTAATGAGGAAGTTTTCTGGGAGAGAAATTCCACCAATATCAAGGACATTAACTCTAGCTAACTCCTCCTCTGACAAAGATGTAACGATGTAGAATTTTTTCTTTACCATATCTATCCCTCTAACTAACCCTAAAATGGTAAAAGATACATCAAAACTTTTATGATATCATTATATGCGAAATTAAATTACAATAGTCATGTCATAATGGTCTAAATATACTACAGTCCAAATCACTTAAGAAAAAGGTGGTTTTCTGTTGCAAAATAACGAGTAATAACTTTAACATTTACTTATATTTCATTTGGGACTGAATCTTAACTAACATGAATTTTGTACTCGGGCACAATCAGGCACCCGAGTACAAAAACTGACATTCTGTAAGCGATGGAAAGCGACCTCACATGAAAAAATCCAAGACCCTGATAGAGACATATACAGTAAACTCCGCTTATAGCGAACTCATTGAGACATTCAAAATTTGTTCATTATATTCGAAGTTCCTTCTAAGCATATAGTGAATTAATTCCTTGTATAGCGAACATATTTACATATAACGAACTGATTGTTTACCATCGTGCGCCTTTGTGAAGAGCATTTGATTCACAAAGAAAGGATCATGATCATGTAGGATCAAGTGATCCAGATTTTATTTTCATTGTTTTATGTTTCTAGAATTTATCGTGTTTTGCTAGACTTAAATGGTAAATATTCAAAATGTTAAAAATTGCTGATTTACAAAGAAACCAAACTATAACAAAACAAATACATGTACAAAAATATTCGGATCAAAATAAGGATCAATTTTAGGATCAGGATCAATATTTGGTTCAACTGTAAAATAGCCGTATCATGTACAAATAACAATTAATTTATTCTAAAATTTCATTAATTTGATAGTACAAGTCCAGTTTTAATAAATTAATATTAGATATTTTATCTATGAGGATAAAAAATGAAGGAAAATAGAGCTTTCAAATTTGATCCTATCCTTTAATATTTGTAAACACGGGGCCTAGGCTTTTCGTTTTCCTTCCATGATTGAGAATAAACAAGATTTTTGATTTTCATTTCTTTCATATTGAATATCTTCTTTTATATTTTAAGGGTGACTTTAATCACGGATTTATAATATAAATCCGTGCTTTAACTGATAAAATGTATAGATTTCTTTCCATTTCAATCGGGCCTACTTTAATGTTTTCAATGGATTATGCTTGCAAGCATGCTGATTATGTTAAAAAAACGGATTATAAATTATCATAATTATTCTACTCGAGCAAAACTATTTAAGAAAAGATAAATAAAAGAATTAAAGGAATAACCGTTTTATTTTGGTGAAAAGAACTCATGCTAAAATATCCAAAATAGAAAACTATTACGTACTTCTATACAAATTCATTTTCATAGATGTATTGAAGTTCATTCAACAATAAACGGTACATTCGGCCGCCAATGAAAACGAAACATGCGGGTTCTATTTACGGATAGCCTGTATTTTGGAGTTCGTTATAAAAGTGTAATTTTCTGTACTTTTAACTAAATTGGGACTAAGAAATGAGTTCCTTATAAGCGATAATTCCTTTTAACCGTGTTCGCAATAACCGTATATTTTATATTAAATAAAGAAGGGCAAAATTCGGGCCAAAATAAATTGTTCCTTATAACCGGAAGTTCGCTATATCCGTGTTCGCTATAAGTGAAGTTTACTGTACTGAGGATGAATATAATGTATAAAAGCTGATTTGTTTTTTTTTAGTTTTACGTCACATCGACACAGTATAGGTCATATCGCGACATTCCAGCTTTACTGGTGGAGGAAGACCTCAGGTGCCCTTCTGTGCATTATTTCAGGCACAAACGGGCACCTGAGTAGAACCACCGTCCTACCGTTAGCTAGCTGGATAGCTTCCCCACATGAAAGAATCTAAAGTCCCTGTAGGGGTTCAAACCCACAGTGGTGAGGGGCAAGTGGTTTGAAGTCAACAACCTTAACCACTCGGCCACGGACGCCCTAAAGCTGATTTGATTTGGCAGATGCTAAAATTATTGTCAAATCAATGAAATAAATATAAGATAATAATAATCAAGAAAGCATGTTGTATTTTACACTTTTTTTTGTAAATATTAATACTGTGTTGAAAACCCACCAAGATTCAAACAATAGGACAGTCTATTTATAGTCTATATATGGACACAAAATCACTTGACTTTGTCTTGGCAGTTTTTTTGCACAGTACAGCAGTAATTAATAAATTTAATACTAATGATTACTACTACAAAACAACAAATCAAACTTTTCCTCATTTGTTCCACATCTACTATTTCTATTTACTATTTATTATATTTGTACAACATAAATTATATAAATACATGAAATAATATGCATATTTTTTTTTCTTTTAAATTTCACAAATGGTCAGCATTCAGCTTTTCTAAAGGTTACACATGCTATTTAAGGTGGATAACTAATATTATACATGTACAATCAAACCGAGTCTGCAAGTTTCATGTAATTTTGCTGATTTTAATGCTTCCAAGGGATCACTTCATCAGATATTGAATAGTAATATGATGCACTTTTCCAAAGTAAAATTACTGAAATACTTAGTTTGAAACAACACATAATTGTTTTTCTAACAGAAAATAAAAGCAACAGCCTAAAAGGGGCCAATCAAATTAATATGAGCAAACTTGACAAAAGACTACCCAAGAATGCTACAGACAAAGTTTGGTGATCATCTGTCCATTAGTTCTGTACAAACAGACGTTTGAAAGTATTTTTTAATTTTAGCTGTAGGGGCCCCTAAAAGGGCCAATCAAATTAACATGAGCAAACTTGATAAAACACTACCTAAGAATGCTATAGACAAAGTTTGGTGATTATCCATCCATTAGTTCTGTAGAAGATGTTTAAAGGTTTTTCTATGTTAAGCTCTATAAACCCCTAAAAGGGGTCAATCAAATTAATATGAGCAAACTTGATAAAAGACTACCAAAGAATGCTACAGACAAAGTTTGGTGATCATCCATCAATTAGTATTGTAGTAGATGTTTAAAGGTTTTTCTATTTTTAGCTCTGTTGACCCCTAAAAGGGGCCTATTAAAATGACATGAGCATATTTAAGTGTGACTGTCACAAGGATGCTACAGACCAAATTTGAAGAAAATCTGCCAAGCAGTTTCAGAGAAGAAGAAAATTGTTGACGCATGACGACACAGCATCCCCTTTGATACTAATAGCCTACCCTTCGGTTCTGGTGAGCTAAAAAAGTCAAATTCAAGGGCAGATAAATGGAATGATTACCCCATTTTTTTTTTGTTTAAAATGTTTTTGTTATCATATTCTAACAACATGCCAAGTTTAAAGAAATTCTATTGAACAGTTTTTAATTTTGTCTATATGAAAACTCCCTAAAAAGTTCTTAAAAGTATTTTACAAACCATAACCGATCCACCTGAAAGGCTGTTTATTTTTCTTCAGGAACAATGGCCCATCATCTTCGTACAATTCAGCCTGTAGAAGAAAAACATTGTTTTGCTTTCATATCAGAAACTGCTTATCATCTAGGTATTTGTAAAACAAGAGCTGTCGGTAGGACAGCAACGCTCGACTATTCTTAGTGCTTGATAGTAAAAAAAAATGCTTGATACAATTACCTCCTCCTGTTTACAGGTTGGGGTAATGATGGTGAACAAGTGTGCAAAGTTTCAAAGCCATATGTCAATGGACTTTGAAAATATTTGAACTATTACAAAAACTTTAACGTAAATTCTAAGTCGAAAAAGGGGCATAATTCTGTCAAAATGCTTGATACAGTTACCTCCTCCTGTCTACAGGTTGGGGTAATGATGGTGAACAAGTGTGCAAAGTTTCAAAGCCATATGTCAATGGACTTTGAAAATATTTGAACTATTACAAAAACTTTAACATAAATTCCAAGTCGAAAAAGGGGCATAATTCTGTCAAAATGCTTGATACAGTTACCTCCTCCTGTCTACAGTTTGGGGTAATGATGGTGAACAAGTGTGCAAAGTTTCTAAGCCATATGTCAATGGACTTTGAAAATATTTGAACTATTACAAAAACTTTAACATAAGTGGTTACGCCGACGCAGACGCCGACACTGACGCCGACGCTCGGGTGACTACAATAGCTCTACTTATTCTTATCGAATAGTCGAGCTAAAAATTAGGCTATGAAAATATCAGTATATTTTTACCTTTCACTGTTTGTAAAGTCACTTTTCATTTGCTAATCATGACATTTATAAAGTTTATTCTAACACTATCGGAAACTTTACTATATAAACAAAGAAGGCCCGAAGCGTACATTATTCTACAACAATGCACTCGCCGTTCTGATTATCTCCCTGTGTATTTTAATATTATGGCGCCATTTTGTTTGAAAAATCTGATGAATAAAAACAATTTTTTGTCGAATTTTGTTGTGAAAACTATCTCGAATGAAGGAAAATGGTCTAACTAAGAAAATGAATCCGAACACCAATATTTTTAATACAGTCATTAATGCTGTACAGACGTTTAAAGTGTTGTTTATGTGACGTCACAATGTAGGGCCAAACAGCACGCGCAAAACAATCAAATCAAGTACACTATTTTAATGTCGCAAACAAGTTAAGTTTTACATTTATTTCACTTTTAATAATTTGTATTTCGCTGAAAAATTATAGAGTGAAATAAAATAAACAAACAAAGTTTTATCAACGTTTTAAAAATTCGTTATTCTCTAATGTTTCTACACACGGTAGATTTAACGACAGTTTTTTTCAACCCACTGGAACAGCCTTTAAAGAACATTTCTATTGGAAACTCTGAGGTGAAAACAAATTTAACCACCAAACATAAAGTCCAACTTTTTAATAATAATGATTTTTTTTTATATGTTAGAATGGAAATAGATATTAATTTTTTGTGCATTAGTGTATAATAATGTACGTTTTTTGTTCAAATGCTTTGTAATTAATCACTCAGACCTATCGGCCTTCGTGATTATATTACTACGCATTTGAACTCAAACCGTGCATTATTCTACAACAATGCACTCAGAACTGATATCTATTTCCCAAATATACATGGATACTGTCAATTTATTCTTTTTCTTCTCTTAAAAGGAAGTTTGCTGTATTATAAATTTGTCATAAAGATTCTTGACAGGTTATATGGCCTATATTAATGGATGTATACATATACAACCAGAGCCTAGCAGCTGGGGTTGAATATAAAGAGAACCATTCATCTACAGCCATATAGCCTGTCAAAAATCGTAATGACTAATAAAAACATCGTATTCACATATGTAAACTCAAACATGTTAATTTATCATACAATTATATTTAAGGTAGAACGCGACACTTTGCGAACTTTCGAGTAGCGTCTTGAAAATCGGCATGCAAAAAATTGACCATATTTCTGATTGGATTTCGTTGATTTTATTTAAATAGTTTCAGCCAATTTTTGTACACACGACGTCAAAGTTGACCATCAAAGCCCGTTTTTGAACATGACGTCGTTGCGTATCCTTGGCAACTGTTACGGGTATTTCAACGCCATTGGCGGACAAAATATCTTAAATCCTACAGCATTCGACGGAAATTATTTTTCCCTTCAAGCAGATATAAAATTTATTGTTTTACGCCGAAAATTGTTTGAGTAATGGAAGAAAAATTGTCAATTTTGTGTAAAATTTGACGTTCAGTTTAGCCGCATTTTTAGGCTTAAAATCGGCTTATTAAAAAATTCCTGAAATAAATTTTTGATTTTTTTCTTTAAACGTCCTTTAAAATGTATACTTAGTCAAAATAACTAAAAAAATTAGGGGGTCACCGACTCAAATTTTTCGGTACACTTGATTTTATTTCCCCCACCCCTTTGGATAAAAGTCACGCTATCACGGGGCGTTTGGTTTTTTGATGTTATTAAAACGATCGCCCTGTGTCAAAATCCCTTTTTTACGGCATTTTAAGCTATTATTACCACTGCGGAAAATATATGGATACAATAAAGGGTACGGAATTCCGTATAGTATAGATAGACAGGTAAAAATAAGTGAAATTTGATGTACGGGACCGTATATCATGCAATACGTATATGACTAATATACCGTGATCCGTACACTCGTAATATGCGGGAACTTTGAATGAAGTCCGTATTTACTAAAATGCGTATTTTTTTAATAACACGGTCAGATATTACCAAAATATGATTTTTTTAATCTTGTAAATACAGATTTTGTATATAAAACAAAGAATAAAGATGTACTTCAGTATTACCCACTTTCTACAAGAGGAAAGAAATAATAGTCTGATCTGACATTTGTCAGAATAACATTAAATAGTAAAACTTTGAGTAAAATGTAATATTTCTCGGTTTTATTAACATGTCAGTATAGTTAGTGAAACATCGGCAGATCCTCTACAGTGCCCGTAGCAAAAACGCAACACTCCTTTGTGCAGTATATAGCTCAGGGCCGCCGGTTCGCTAAAATCCACAGACGTGTATTTGCAGCGTTTCATTATATTTCATGTTTAAAGTACTGTTTCCTGTTCAAAATAAATTCTACCATAAATTTGGCTATACAGTGAATAATGAATATTTGCAAAGGCCGATTTGATAGTAATGTGTTTAATACAGCGTTTATGGTGATTCCTCAATTAAAATGATAAGCAAAACGAGAGAATATGTATTACAGATGTTTGAATATGTATTACAGATGTTTATTTACTTGTAGAATCGGACGTGCTACATCTGGCTGTAAAATACAGAAAAACAGAATCCCTAAAGAAATTCCAACACAACATAATTGAAAATGTTGCAGGCTCGGTTTGATTGAGCCTGTTCATGGACGGTACTGGAAAGTGCAAGTTACCGTCCACGCCCCCTAGCACCAACACCCGCTGAGCTAACGTTTCAAGCATGACTGTTTGCTTCACGCTAATATAATTGACTAAGTTTCATTTATGAACCGTATATTTTAATTTGTCAATATTTCGCCAATTCTGTCAAATTGTTGCAATAGTTTTTGATTACAAGTGAAATTCAAATTTTGGTTTTTAGAGGTGAAATAAAATACATATCACTCACAGTTTATCACTCATAGTGTGGGTAATGCAAAATGTATATATTTGCAGAATTTCTTGTATATATAGACTACGTATTAATTTATGATAGAATTTCCATAAATTTCTAAATTTACATAAAAATATATACATGTAGTTGCTTTTTGTTCCATTTGGCAAATTTCTCGATTCAAGTTTATTAATCTTATTGTATTACAATATCAAAAAGGAACACCGCAAATGATTACTCTCAGCAGTATTTATTTTTGTTTGCGCAGAGTAAGCGTTACCCTTGAACGCCTAACGTCATTTTCTTTACATGCGTCTGTTTACAAATCCTTATAAAGTTAGTAATCGTGCTTAAAAACAAGAAAAAAATCGTTTGTTTTTCGTACAATTTTAGGAAATTTGCAATGGAACATTGTTGTTGTTGTTTTATATGTATTAGTGAAATTCTAAAACAATTCTCTTGATAAGCTGAACATTATTGCCGCACTTTGAAGTCTCAAACGTATCTGCATACGTCGAATTTTGTTACAAAATTACTCATGGGGTGGGGGAAATAAAATCACGTGTACTGAAAAATTTGAGTCGGTGACCCCCTAATTTTTTTAGTTATTTTGACTAAGTATACATTTTAAAGGACGTTTAAAGAAAAAAAATCAAAAATTTATTTCAGGAATTTTTTAATAAGCCGATTTTAAGCCTAAAAATGCGGCTAAACTGAACGTCAAATTTTACACAAAATTGACAATTTTCTTTCCATAACTCAAACAATTTTCGGCGTAAAACAATAAATTTTATATCTGCTTAAAGGAAAAAATAATTTCCGTCGAATGCTATAAAATTTAAGATATTTTTTCCGCCAATGACGTTGAAATACCCGTAACAGTTTCCAAGGATACGCAACGACGTCATGTTCAAAAACGGGCTTTGATGGTCAACTTTGACGTCGTGTGTACAAAAATTGGCAGAAACTATTGAAAAAAAATCAACGGAACCTAATCAGAAATATGGTCAATTTTTTGCATGCAAATTTTCAAGACGCTACTCGAAAGTTCGCAAAGTGTCGCGTTCTACCTTAATATAGAGGCTGATAGGGAAGACTGGTCATGCCTAACTATGTTGCTTCTTTAAATAAAGTCTTTATTATTATTATCATAATATGCACAGTTTGAGTTTAGATGCACATTTATATAATCAAGAAGTTCTTTAGATTCAAGATAAAGCATTTTAACAGAATATTATGCACTATTGTACTACAACACAAGAACAAATGAAACCTTTTTCAATTTCTAACATGCTTATAGAGATTTGTTAAGACAATATTCCACAATATTAAAGCTGAGAATCAATTATCATGTCATTTGGTTAACCGAAGTCACATTTGATGTCCCCTTGTATCGCATGTAAACACTGCTTTACTTCTTTTGTGTATTTATTTATAATTATGTACTGGATTGATAATATCTGTCATATGTTTCAAGTCAGATCAGAATATCCGTCCTTAGGAGACATGCCAATTGGTGGTTTCCTGAGGGAGAATATTCCCACCTGAACTGCAAACATGTCAGATATTTTTCTTGCGTGTTCTACAATGTTATATTTTACCTTACATGATTACATCAATAAACTTATTTTTCATGAAAATTAATGTCAATTCATCTGTAACTTTTCAATTTGTTTCTCTGTCACAGGTTTTTCTAAATACACAATAATGATAATGTAAAAATTATATCCAACTGGGAATGCATGAAAGCATGGTTAGCTTGAACATTTCCCTATTTCCTTGCAATCTTAAGTGAGGATGGCTTTACTGTATATTTTTTGTGATACAAGAGGATATATAGTGCCCAAATACGCAATATTTATGATACAAGTATGCATTTCATATGATTTGTTTTTTCTGTATGCCAGTCCAGTGGATAAGTGAAGAGTTTTCAACACAAACTGCTTGCCAATAAAGAACCCTTAGTTATTCTATTAATTTTATGTATGTATCAAATAGGTCAGGTTTGACAGGTATTCACTACTAACCTTTGTAATGTCACCTTCACACAATGCTACCATGTTCGCATTCAGAGCACACATGACCTGTGACTTGGGTACCTGAACATGACACATATGTATGGCTACATCTTTCCAGCTCACAGTAAATGGGGTCATTGAGGTCAAGGTCAAACCAGGTTCAAGGTTAGCACCAAGGTGACTGAGAATTGACAGATTTCTGTAATCAGTTGGTTTCATTCTAAAGTTGTAACTGAAATTAACAAATTAACATACATGTATATGGTAACACCTCAAGAAACATGCTCAACTATTCTCAGTGCCGAATAACAGTCTTGATACTACAGGAAGATTAAACAGGAAGATTACTTGCAAAATACACAACATATTTATGAGTTTTGGATAGTGACCTAGGAATTGTGTAAGTTCAAAAAAGGGCCCTAATTCAGTCAAAAATCATATCAGAATAAAAGGTCTTGGAAAGTGGTTTTTAATTATAATTTCAGTTTCAAGGGAATACCTTCTGTAGCTTTAATAAGATTGATAGATATTGCATGCAAAACTTCCAAGAATTGTCACAAGTTCATAGGACATGGTATGACACTGTGAAGGCGTTATGGTGACTTTCCAGTTATAGTTGTGGAGAAGGTGTCCCTCCAGTCGGCTTGAAGTTTATGGAATGTCCAAGTCAAAATACAAACCTTGAGCTAATCATCAGACTGCTGATCATATATGGTCTCTTTCTTTATGAAAATCTTTGTTATAAAGAAAATACATTTGCATTAATCATTCTAATCTATTTTAAAAAATACACATGCATAGACAAAATAACAATGAATAAAATGATTAAATTAAACCTTGTAGAAATTGGTCCTTCAAGACTTAAGAATGTTGGTATCCTCTCCATTTTTCTCTCAATGTTTTCACCTTTGAACATCTTTAGATAAAAAAACAAATTTATCTTTTAACACATTTTACAAATAATAGCTTTTTTCTTTTTTAAAAGTCTTACAGTTAGCACTTTTCTTTATAGTTAACTTTGCAATATATACTTTTACAATAATCTGCCCTTCTGAAATGGCATCCTGTTATGACTATAAACATGTATGCCAAGACTGAAGTGAATAGCTCTTATAATTTATGAGAAAATAGACGTTTATAAAAAGGTTAACCAACACTGATGCCAACACCGAGAGTCATGACAATAGCTCAACTTTTTTCCACCTCTGACATTCCTTGATTACTCGTGGTGAAGGCCTCAGAAACTCCTGCTATGTTTACAAGTAGAACAAGAATTTGTAACAGTTACAAATGTCCCCTACCTAAAGGAAATTTTACATGCAGGACAAATTTTGTCCAGCAAAATGGAATGTGCTGGTGATGTGCACAACTAGGCATGGTACTGATCACTCCTATAAAGTTTGGTTGAAATCCAACCAGTAGTATGACCTGTGAAGGCAAGACACGATTTTTCTATTTTAGCTCTGAAAACCATTTCCTGCAACAAAGTGGAACACGCTGGTGACTTGCACAACTATGGATTGTACTGATCAATCCTGTAAGGTTTGGTTAAAATCTAACCAGTAGTTTGACCTGTGAAGGGCGGACGGTCAGCAGAAATAGAATAAGGGGCCATTTCTTTTGTTATTTTCTATTGTTTAATAGAGGGCCAATGGACCTTCCTCAATCTATTGTTCTCTTTTGTTCTGTTTACAGTTAGATGGCCCCCTATCCTTATTCGGTACTGCGGACAACCGCACAACATGCTTTTGTACTTAGGTGTTCTGTATTGTTTATTTAGCCACATAAGAGAAAAAGTAGCCACATAAGAGCTTACTGAATGAATAGCATCAACAGTTTCCTATTGTCCCCATAGCCATTTAAGTATCTGTATGTTTGTATGGACAACTGGAGGGACAAAAGGCGAAGGCAAAAACAATGTCTCCCAAAAACTTTGGGAGACAATTAAAATTTGGGCGTCTAAAATATCCAATTCTTCACCCGACTGGCTAGTAAAATTTTCAATCGCGAAATTAATTATCGTGAAGTTCAATCATGCACTTGTTGCCACGTCACTACTGTTTCTAGGCTTACTTCCATAAGACATGTAAAGTGATTAATATATCGGGTACCAACTTTGTTTATGTGTTGTTTCTGTGTCTTGAGGTGAAATATCAGAATATAAATTAAAACAAGAGCTGTCGCTCGACTATTCTAAGCGCTTGATAGTATGACCCTCCAATTATGACCCTAAGTGCATGTGTAAAGTTTAAAGTAAATATCTTTGAAGACCTTTAACCATTAAACAAAATTTCTAAGTTTCAAAGGGGCAAATAATTCTGCAAATATTGCAGGCAGATTTATGCAATTTTGCAAACTGATGTACATTGTTACTATAAAAAAGTATTTTAAATTTCAATTGAATATCTCAAGCAATTATTGAAATATTTGACTTTACAAAAAAACTTTAACCGAAATTTCTAAGTTCCAAAGAGGCATAATTCTGTCAATATTGTAGGCATAGTTATCCAACTTGTCAATCTGATGTACCTTGTTACTATAAATAAGTATTGTAAGTTTCAATTGAATATCTCAAGCAATAATAGAGATATTTGACTTTACAAAAAACTTAAACCAACGCAGACGCCCACGCGGACGCCGGGGCAACTACAATAGCTCTCATATTCTTCGAATAGTCGAGCTAAAAATTGATATTCATGTATAGCAGGGAATGAAAATAAATAAAATACAACACAAGACTTGTATTGGATTTCCTTCTATTTCCGTACATTTACCTTAAGATAAGAAAAAAAACTCAAAATTTGATAAATTCATTCGGGCTAATAAAGTTAGTTTCAGGCATGTTATTTTGTAGAAGTTACTAGCCCGAATGGGGAGTAACTTCACAATGTTTATTTCAAAGACTGCAAGTGAGACTTTGACCTTGGAGGTAGGGGTCTGGGTGTTGTGCATGACATTGTTTTATTATAACAAACATTTGTGCTAAGTTATTCCAAATTCCTTTGATGAATGGCTTAGTTATGGACTGGACACGAAAGTGTGACGGACGGACAGACAGAACCCATTTCTATATTCCCTTTTTTCTTCAAAAAAATGGGTTTACAGAAGAAGCTTAGATTCACTAGTAGGCTCTTCAGTAACACCACTAAGCTAACTTGATAGCATCTTTACAAGATCTAAACTGTTAATATATAAAAAGAGACATAAAAGAAAACATCCAACTACCTACCTTTGACAACTCTGTCCAGCTTGTTTGTTCAAGATCCTCAACTGTTATTGGAGGCACATTCTGTGAAACCTGGTATGACATCAACTGCACCATAATGGAGGGTGATACAAGACGTACAATATCTAATAATAGCTGCCAGCCAAGTCCTGATCAAATCATGTAAATAAATACTTGTATTAACATTCTTTTCTTAAAACTGAGTTTTCTCCCTTTATCTGTAAATCTTGTGTAATGTATTTGCCAAGCCTTGAATTATACAAATATGAATTTATCAAATTAGGAATACTCTGGTCAGGCTGCACAATGGTAAAGGTAATCACTTTTGGTGCCCCCCATGTTAAGGGTTAAATGTTTACCACATCCACTATCTTTTAACATAAATTGAATTAAGTACAGTTCATAACAGAACATATACTAGTATATGCCTATAGATTTTAATCAAACATTCAATAAGCTAAAAGAAAAGCAATTCTAGCACAGTTTTAAGTATCATTTTTTACATGGAAAACTCTTGTAAAATAGCAGAGTACCTCTAAGAAAGATGAATGTGTCAGCATAACTTCATACCTTTCATCCAGCCCATTGTGTTTACAATAAGAGGTGTTTTCTGTTCTACACGTTTATATTCCTGTACACACAACTGTACACATCGCATATATAGATCTGCATTGTCTTTTGGTGACACACTTCCATAATGGTAGGAGCTATGCAAAAATATTAAGAAATGAAACCTTTGAATGCAATGGTTTATTCATGCTAAAGTACCAATGATATAATTGAAAAAAACATAAGAAGTCTTGTTGATAATATATATTGCAATATGTTTCACATTTCATAAAAAAAACTTTTGTCAGGAAATTAAGAAATGAAAAAAAAAGAGATCTTTATTTCAGCATACAGCTAATGTTATTGTGAAAGTAAGATAAATTGGTGGCTTGTATGGGAACAATCCTACAAGTAAAAGATACAGTACGAGTTTTCTTTCAAAAGTGTCTTCTTACAGACGTAAAATGACAGTTTGCTAGGATAAACAACAAATTGTCCTAGCAAACTGTCTTCTTCGCGTCTGTAAGAAAACATTTTATAACTGTATCTGACTTATATGTCGTTTAAGTGTAACGAGTAGATAAATTGATAAACACATTTAATTATAAATAGATCTAATTAAATTAAATGTGTGTTCACATTAAAAATTAGAAAATATTTGCATGATACTGTATGGTAACTGGTATTGTAAATAAGTCACAGTTCTCGAAAGAAACATGCGAAAATTGAGGTTAATCATCACAAAGAGTTTTACATTTTGATTTGCACAAGGATTAAACGTAAGCATGAGACAAATTCAATGTTGAATGGGGCGAAAAGTCTCTTGGGAGAGCGTAAAATCTTGCTACTTTGTCTATAAAAATACAGAAACGTGGGGCAAGATTTTAGCAAAAAAAATAGCATGTCAATAGGAGTCCTTTAATTGGCCTTAGCAGGACACCCTATATTTCAACTGTATTAAATCCACGTGGAAATAACAGTTATTTAGATGTGTCTTCTTACAGATGTAAGATGACACTTTTTGAATAGCTCTGCTGGGGGTATAGTAGTATAATTATATATGACTGCACCACAATGAAAATATAACTTTGACCTTGACCTTAGGGTTTAAGTGCATGGTTCTAGCAAGCATATCATAATATCTTGATTTTTCAGCGAATAACCAAAATCACTTTCTTAATTTAAGCAGACATACATATAGAGGGTAAACAGACATCCCTAAATTTCCTATTCACTGTAAACATCATATACTAAATGGTACCTTATAAGTTTAACTTATATATACATGAATATATATAATTCCTCATTTATAGTGTCACATGATATGTCAGGGTTTGTGTAAAATGATAATAAAATGACTTACAAAATTGGTAATATAACTAGCTGAAGTAAAAATGGCTGGGGCATTAAATTGTTAAATTGGATAAAATTTAACTGTATTATACAAACATATAAAATTCTACAATAATTAGAACAACTAACCATACTGCCTTCCTCTGGTGAGTAAATGGTGGTCCTGAAATACAGTAATATATATATGAGCCGCATCACGACAAAACCAACATAGTGCTTTTGCAACCAGCATGGATCCAGACCAGCCTGCGCAACCATGCTGTTCGCTTGCCAACTCTAGTACAAGTAGAGAAACTGATAGTGAACAGCATGGATACCGATCAGGCTGTGTGGATGGCAGGCTGGTCTGGATCCATGCTGGTCGCAAACGCACTATGTTGGTTTTGTTGTGACGCGGCTCATATTATGTACCCATAATATAATCTATATCTAAATGTAATAATATTATCTGTATTAAATTATAAGTTATTCAAGTTGCTGATGGTATAATTATATGGGAATACAGCTTGAATGAGATAAACAAGATCCAAGGCTCTAGCAACATGTATACTGAATTTATAATAATGAAAATTGATATTGCTAACAAGGTCCTAGACAACACAGGACTTTAAAGACATTTTTACAAAGATACACAGGGAAAAAAGGCATGTAAATATGATGTCAGTCTTAATGTTGCGCAGTTAAAAGTAATTAAAGTATGAGGTCATCATAATGGTGTAACATTTAACTAGTTTTCTGAAGTAATGGATTTTGAATCTAGAAGTATCCCATAAAGAATAAAATACAATAATAAATTTCATGCTATACAATTTATTAAGATAATATTATAATAATACATGTATAATTATATTCATATGCATCCATAACGTCTGTATCTATCTGGTATATTTATCCATTTTGTCTGTATTTATTATGGCTCGTGCAAGTATTCATGTACTCGGGTAATCAAGAATCAAACTAAAAAGCTCGATTAGGAGTAAATGTCAGTTCAGAGATCATGGTTCATGATCTTTGTTTATGTAGATTCAGCGCCTCAAGACTCTATATACATGTTTTTATCCTGTACAATTAGAATCTTTGGGTATAATTTCTATAATTCATCTTTCGACAATATTTCAAAATAAAATCACAAACCACAGTGTGAGTAGCAAGGTTAGTAGTTTCAATTTTTATTGTTTAAAAGTTTTTTTTACCTAATACAGGGGTGGTAACTTTTACCAATGAAACTACTCCAGGGGGAGTAAACTCTGTCTGTCCAATATCACACTCCAGATAATACACACTCTTACACCTGTAACATATAAACATGATTATATACCAGAATTCCATAATTATTATCTCTTCAATTAAGTTGTCTTGCTGGACAAGAAATTCAGATAATTACTTCCTCTGGCAAGTGGTTTACTTTACAACCATAAAATATATAAGCCTTCATTTTCATGGGAAAAACTGAGGCAGTTTTTTGTCAGAAACTGAAATATTCAACAGTGATGGGACAAGATTGTTTGATTTTGCTAATGTTAAAAATAATTCAAAAGGAAAGGTTTAATCATTTATCTGTTATAAGAATCACATCTTGTCACCTATTGTAACCAGCTTTTTCTAATTTATACAACATAGCAATACCCTTTTTAAAAAATGCTGATTTTTTACATAATGTTTACAATTTACCTGTTTAATGTTGAATTTATAAGAAGCCTGTTTGACGTAGATTTCCCTGAATCTTTCCCACCACATACTAACATTACTGGCACACCTGAAATAAGTTTTAAACCAAAGTACTGTGATATTTTTTTTGAATTTTCAAAACAACCTGTGCCTTTCTGAAAGAGGGAAAATATTGCTATTATAGCATGATACATCAGAAAAGGGGTGGGGGGAAAACCTGACATCAAGTTCAACCACTGAGAATGGAATTTACCCATACATTTTATAATATTTACAATTTCAATTCAATTTAACATACATGGTACATAGCAAAGGCCATCTTTCAGTCAATTAAAAATTATCAACAAGCTGATTAAGTCAGCAACTGTAAAATCATGGTTCTGGTGAAGAATGTGCACAGGGCATTTCATAGGAAAATATACCTATTTTGGGCTAGGGGATCAACATAAATCCCAGTTTGTATAGTTATCATTATAAAACATGAGAGATATATAAACATGTGACTCTCATTGACACTCTTTGCTTCCATGTTTAGTTATAAAGAAAAGAATTCTTTTTGCTAGGCACTAAAATTTCTTTTTTTGGTAGCTGTGATTTTTGTGGGTAGGTAGCAGAGGGGAAACAATATTTCTAGGTTCAGAATCATATTGAAAACCGATTGTAAGTGAAATGTTTAGCCGGATTAAGTGAAAGGCATTGCAACACTTTTCATTCTTCTTTCATTTTGCACATTAAAAATTTTTATTCTGAAAGAAATGGGTGAGGGAAAGATGTGAAAATTTGCACACTTAGAGCAATAGGTTCAGACTCAAATCTCAGAAAAATCTTCCCAGTACTGCCATGTAAAACAACTTCATAGGAGTCCCTTTATGAAAATAAACAATAAACAAGTTTATCAAACCATTAATCATATACATAGAAAATGAAATTATCTTTTTATGGTTTCATAAAATTAGCTAAGTAACAAATAGGTTTATTTAATGCTTCTTTACTCAGGGTGTTCACTAGCCACAAAATCCTGAGGGTCATTTTGACTAAGTTTTACCGACTACAAGGATGAATCCCCACGATTTTAACAAAATTTGACCCTCACTCACAGTAGTTGAAATCCTGAGAGTCAAATCAGACTTTTGGTAATTTAAAGGGTCAAAGATTTATTCAAGGGTCAAACGGACACCCTGTAAATTACTTAAGGCAGGCATTTGAATGAGAAAGTCAAGTTACCTTCATTTTGTTGTATCAAATTTTCTTGCCATACATCAAGTACGTTCTGTAATTGTTCTGACACACTAATCTCTGGAACATCCATATCTTCTCCAGGCATTTTAACAGACAGGGGAAGTAACTGCTTATTCAATAAAGTTTTATCACCATCAACTTTAAATATGTTTGTGTACGGGTGAAAATTTGAGATAAATGAACATAAAGTTGTTTTCAATTTGTCAAATTTTAGAACAACAAAAGGTTTACTATCATTTAGGGAGTTTTTCAGCAAGTTTATGACAGTTTTATCGTTAATTCCTAACATTGAATCAACTTGGTTAACAGCTGTTTTAGTCTTTGTAACCCCTTTTACCGTGCTAACTGTTACTAAACTGTTACAATCTGGAGAATATACATCGTAACCTTGACTACCAGGCACTAAATTGTATTCCATAACACTAGCAGTTCCAACTACAGCTTGAATTGTGACAACACCCTTCAGTGGGAACACACATGGATGAGATGCGATCACTAAAACACTGTCACCTACTGGTATAGCTATAGGGCTGAAACAACAACAACAAAACACCCAAACTTTATCATTATCAATATCTATATATAAAATTTAAAAATATAATATACACATGCAGACAAATAAAAAACAAACAATCTTATCTGAATTTATACAAAATAAATTGCATCAAATTTGAAAAATGTTAAAATTATTCACCATTCAATTATAACATGTATAACCGTCCCTACCCAGACGGGAGCGTCCGTGGCCGAGTGATTAAGGTCGTTGACTTCAAACCACTTGCCCCTCACCGCTGTGGGTTCGAATCCCGACAGGGACTTTGGATTCTTTCATGTGAGGAAGCTATCCAGCTAGCTGACGGAACATCGGTGGTTCTACTCAGGTGTCCGTTTGTGCCTGAAAAAATGCATGGAAAGGCACCTGAGGTCTACCTCCTACAGTAAAGCTGGAATGTTGCCAAATGACATAGACTGTGGTGGTGTGACGTAAAACCCATATCAAACAAACAAACCCTACCCAGGCCATGGAGATTGGAGACTTTGGTAGAGAGTGGAATGTAATTATCAAAGTTTGACCCATTAATGTCAATGTTTGCAATTTGTTGGAAAGTGAAGGAAAAAAATCACTGGGCATAAGTTATAAACAAGAGGGCCATGATGGCCCTGAGGTCGCTCACCTGTATATAGCATCCCCCCCCGGCCAATTTTTACCCAAGGGCTTTTATTTGTTTATTTGAACAAACTTGGTAGATACCCATAAGAAGATGTTTCATGCTAAACATTTAAGTTCTAGCTCATTAGGTTTTTTAAAAGAAGATTTTTTAAGTTTTTACTATACACATATAGTTAAAAACAATGACACCCCTGGGGCAGGGCCAGTTTTGACCCCCGGGCTTTTATTTGAACAAACTTTGTAGATATTTACTTAAAGATGTTTTATGCTTAATATCTAAACTCTAGCTATTTGGGTTTTTTCAAAGAAGATTTTTAAGTTTTTGCTATACACATATAAGGAAAATCAATGACCCCCGGGGCGGGCCAGTTTTGACCCCAGGGCTTTTATTTGAACATACTTGGTAGACACCCATTAGAACATGTTTCATGCTAAATATCTTAGCTCTAGCTCTTTGGGTTCTTTAAAAGAAGATTTTTTAAGTTTTTACTATATGCATATAGGGAAAATCAATGACCCCCTGGGGCGGGGCCAATTTTGACCCAAGGGCTTTTATTTCAACAAACTTGATAGACATTCACTAGAAGATGTTTCATGCCAAACATCTAAGCTCTAGCTCTTAAGGTTCTTTAAAAGAAGATTTTTTAAGTTTTTACTATATGCATATAGGGAAAATCAATGACCCCCCGGGGCGGGGCCAATTTTGACCCCAGGGCTTTTATTTGAACAAACTTGGAAGACACTCACTAGAAGATGTTTCATGCCAAATATCTTAGCTCTAGCTCTTTGGGTTCTTTAAAAGAAGATTTTTTAAGTTTGTACTATATGCATATAGGGAAAATCAATGACCCCCTGGGGCGGGGCCAATTTTGACCCCAGGGTTTTTATTTGAACAAACTTGGTAGACATTCACTAGAAGATGTTTCATGCCAAATATCTAAGCTCTAGCTCTTACAGTTCTTTAAAAGAAGATTTTTAAGTTTTTACTATATGCATATAGGGAAAATCAATGACCCCCCGGGGCGGGGCCTATTTTGATCCCAGGGTTTTTATTTGAACAAACTTGGTAGACACTCACTAGAAGATGTTTCATGCCAAATATCTTAGCTCTAGCTCTTTGGGTTTTTTAAAAGAAGATTTTTTAAGTTTTTACTATATGCATATAGGGAAAATATATGACCCCCTGGGGCGGGGCCAATTTTGACCCCAGGGCTTTTATTTGAACAAACTTGGTAGACACTCATTAGAAGATGTTTCATGCCAAATATCTAAGCTCTAGCTCTTAGGGTTTTTTAAAAGAAGATATTTAAAGATTTTTCTTTCGGTTGCCATGGCAACCAGAGTTCTGTATGGAATTAAATTCTTTGAACAATTTTTAAAGGTGACCACCAAAGGAACATTCCTGTGAAGTTTGGATGAAATTGGCTCAGTGGTTTATGAGGAGATGTCATTTAAAGCAAAAGTTTACGGACGGACGACGGACGGACGATGGACGGACGGACGGACGCCGGACGAAAAGCGATCACAAAAGCTCACCCTGTCACTTTGTGACAGGTGAGCTAAAAAGAAACTAAAAACATCCTTATTACAAACAATTTTTTAGAACTTGATGCATTAAATGAGAGTTAAATACCTTTTATGAGTGCTGGGTTGCCCACTGTCAAAATGGTCTCCATAACCAGCTCTAGACTGAAGTCTTCTACCTATATCTGTCCAGTCATCTCTATCATCAACAGATTCTTCTATACTCTTTTCTGATGGCTGTATCTCACTGTCCTTATTGAAGTCTCTTTTAGACTTTTTCTTTACAACAGCAGTTTTATCATTTTCCAAAGAACCAATCTTTCTTTTCTTTATATTTTCATGCTTACGGTGAACATCTGAATCCATAGAGTCAGTGTCAGTACTTTTATTATCTTCTGGTCTATTTATGTCAACTGTTTTCTCACCTGCTTGTATGTCAACCAAGTCACTAGCAATATCACTTTCTTCATTATCATCATCTATTACCACCATACTAATATTAGTGTCACCATTATCATCTTGTTCACTCTTCTGTTTTGTTTTGGCAACAGCTTTAGGACTAATTGAATTTGCTTTAGCTGACTTCTTTCGTTTCTGAGATTTTCTTGATTTCTTTTTGTTCCCAGATTTTACATATTCAATTTGTTTTTCCTTTGGTAAAGAATTTATTGCATCAACAACCTTTACATGTTTGCTTTTTGGTTTGTCAGATTTATGTTTGTTTTTAGTTCTCTTATCTATGACAGTTTCCTTGCATTTAACCTCAAATGCTGATACTCTTTTCTTTTTTAAAGGCATTTTTGAATTACCTGATTTCTTTAAGACGCTTTAATCTGAAATTTGAATGAAATCTTTTAAAATGTTTGACATCTAATAGCAGTATTGAAAATAAACAAAACTGTTTGATAATACATGTATACAATTTTCAATACCAGTTTGTTTAAAAAAAGCAATCTGCTTGATAAAATGCAGCTTAACATCAAAATAACAATTTTAACATAGCACATACATGAACACAGCTCTAAATTCAATGTAAAATATGGTAAAACTATGTGCAAGATTGATTTTTAATCTTGTAACATGCTTCAGTTATGCTTTAGTAACCTCAAAATTATCAATATTCAAACAGTCTTCCCAGCCCTTGGTTATTATCCAATCTAGTCAAACTTACTAGTTTTGTCTAAGAAACGTCTAGATATTTTTTTCGAACGGGCAATTATTGACACCAAATCCAAACACAAACTGCATTTTTCTACACGAACACTGCCGAATAAGAAGTTGTTGGGAGTGATAACTAGCAATGAAATGAAAAAACACCCACTTTACCTAATAGATAACAGTTTTCTTTAAACACATTCCCAAGATTTTAGTGTTAAATAAAGAACTTAAGAAACATAACCTCACTTATCAAACACCCATGCCGATTTTGCGACTACGTCTATATGGTATTGCACGGGGTTTTGATGTGCTTCATTAGCGTTTTCAAACATAGTGTAAAGACGCGCTAAATGTTAGCATTATACTATAGGAGCGTCAATGAAAAATAGAATATTAAATTGGTGTAAGTTCATTCCTGACTTTATTGCACTTGTTAAATAAAATAATATTATGCTGGTCAGAGGCTCGCATAATATAATTTTATTCAACCCATGCAATAAATTCAGTATTGAACTTACACCCATTCAATATCCTCTATTTAGTTTCTCTCTCAATAATAATCAGGTTTTAAATCTACCTTTTTTTAAAGCCACTAGCCTCCAGATGGTAAAATGAAAACAAGACAAAATTTTACCATAGGTTCTTGTATGGAACTTCTTGAGACTGAAACTTTTGTCACCTACATACAGTTCAACATTTTGATCTACAGAAGAATTTCAAAGTTTCTTGGAAAAGGTGTTTTTACTGTTTACAGAAATAGTAGCCCAATTAATTGTACTGTCAAAGTGAAACAAGATTCGTACCCGGAACAAAAATATCTCAGAATCATCAAAATATCTTGACTTAGTACTGTCTGCAAAATTTAGCCCAACTTATGCTAATACTAGTACTTCACAGTAAGTAGTCCAACTAATTGTACTACGCAATGAGATTTATTCAGTGCAGGCAATCTCAATCACCTTATGAAAAGTGTTATTTCATAAAATATTTTTGAAGTACTTTTGGCTAAAGCATAAACATGACATAATCTAAAGCCTCTATGACATCAGCCCTACAGCAGCCATATTAATGCATTTTGACAAAAATCGCCGTGTTTTGTACAGGATCCCCAAGACATTCGCACAAATTCTTAAAGTCGCAGACTGAATTCTCAACATGCACATTAATTCTGTGATTTTATGACAGATTATAAAAGTCTCATGACAATCGCATGACAGATTATTGATTTCTTTAAGTTCTCATGTAAAAATGTTTTGTGAATATGCGACAACCGCAGGGCTGCCGCACAAGAATTAATCGGCTACCTAGGGCCATAAGCAAATGCTACCACATGACAGATCTTCAATCACAAATCTGTCTAGTTTGGGCCATCCTTAAAAAAATGTTTGTTTGCAGTAACCCGACCCAGAATTTCCAAGGTGGGTAGGTAGGTCGATTTTTTTTTTTTTTTATTGAACTGTACTCCCAAATAAACATGAAATTTCAAAATGCTGGACAATATATGCTTTGATAATCTGGTAACAATTAATAAATTGATAACTGAATTCTAATTTAATAAGACCTACATTTTATTTCTTCTATTAACCTTTAAAAGAACAAAAACAAAGCACAAGGCATAATTTTCTGATTCCAAAAAATTTTTTTTTTATCCACACCATGAAAAAAAATTTTGAGTAGGGGCAAATTTTGTGAGTCGGTCGCGTTACTGCAAACGAACATTTTTTTAAGGATGGCCTTGGCTGGGAATTTTCCTGCGACCTTTCTACAGCACAGATTTCTCTACAAAACTTATGAACCAAATTTTGTTCGGCTGATGCAATAGAGGCTTAAACGGGTAGTCAGACTATTCTCTCCCTTACCAGTTCCTCCCCTGACGTTTCCTCCCTGACGGTTCTCTCCCTATTTTGGGGGAGAACCGTCTGCATATTTGCAAATAATTTGCAAATAAGCAAATAAGCAGACAGTTCCTTCCCATTTTTATCAATACATTATTATTGAAGTATTTAGATGTTTAATAAATGGATAAGTTTATTAATAAATTATTATTAATTGAAGTATTTAGATGTTTAATACATGCATGGGTATGTTTATGATTAATTGATATAAATTAGATAAAAAAAATATTTTTAGCATATAAGTATATTATTCTGATTGTTTTATTAGATCTAAAGTATACTTTTTTAATGTGTTTAATCATTGAAAATAATTATTGAATAATTTACTTGGTTAGGATAATCATTCGATATTAATTATAGGGTGAGTTTTTGATGTGTTTATTAATTAATAATTCAAGACTGGAGATGTTATCTAATGATTAAAATAAATGTGAAAAGGTGTTGATAAATGAATATTTTTATTAGTTATTTGGTATTAAATATTGTTTCATGTTAATGACTACAATGTTCTTTAATAAATTTTGTATAAAAGTAAATGTGAAATGTGATTGCATACCAGTTGTTGCTTATTTATTTTCTATAACATACTTGTTACCACCTTATTAAGTAATTCCAGCTATATAACAAATGAATGAATATCCCTAGACCTTAACATAATTACATACAGGTGTATATCAATCACTGTCAAATAATCTTAACCTCTCACAATGAAGGTGTTAATAGGATTAAAATACCTGAAAAAGGTGTTAAATTTACAAACACTCTTCAGAATCAAATAAACATAAAACATAAAATGTCAAATACATTCTTTTAATTAAAAGTCTTCATGAAGAAATATTATTAGATTTAGTAAAAACTTAAATGATAACTAATAAAAATATTGGGGGAGAACTGTCTGCATATTTCAAATTTGGGAGAGAACCGTCAGGGGAGGAAACGGTTTAGGAGAGAACCGTCAGGGAGAGGAGGTATCCGGACAATTCCCCTCCCGGACGTTTCCCCTCCCAGTAAATTTGAATGTTTTTTCACAACCCGGACATTTCCCCTCCCGATATTTTTTTACAGCGGACAATTCCCCTCCCGTTCTTTTATCAACCCGGACAATTCCCCTTCCGTTCTTTTAACAACCCGGACAATTCCCCTCCCGCTGTTGTCAGAGCGGACAATTTCCCTCCCGTGGCTATTGAATATATATATTATATAATATTGTTTATTTGAAAGGAATATACATTTTTGCAGCGGCAAAACAATAAAAGAACAATTAATTAATTGATAAGAACAAAAAAAAACAATTAAGCTGTAGATTCTTGCAAAGAATATATTATGCACATGTTATAGTAAATTGAACTGTCATCTTAGAAAATCATATTCACCATATTGAATCAGTACATGATCGAAGTCCTAACACAAAATATCAGTGATCATTTTGATTTTATATATGATTGAACACATTTGTAGGAATATTCTCCTTCATTTTTAATTGGTTTTGCAATCAAGGACACATTTCACTAAGGGCGGCAATGATTAAAGATTTTTTATTGACATTTTGTTTATCTTAAGCAGCGGAGGCATAATTAAAGGCGGTTTAATGTCACTTTTGTGAAATAATGATTGTTAAAAGTTCCGATCTTTAACAGTTTATTGTTAAGAGTAAAAACTGTCATCTTTGATAAGAATGGTTATAGATTTTTTTATACGCAATGTGAAAAAACGGGAGGGGAATTGTCCGCTCTGCTAAAAAATGGGAGGGGAATTGTCCGCTCTGCTAAATTAACGGGAGGGGAAAAGTCCGCCCTATTAAAATAACCAGGGTTCGACATTAACGGGGTCCCGGGATTCCGAGGATCCCAAAAAGTCGGGAGGAATCCCTGTGATTCTTAGCTGGGGATTCCTTTGGGATCCCTGAAAAATTGCTGTGTAAATAAAAATTTTGAAATTTTCTGAATTAATATCATTGAATCACAAATATTCAAGAAAAGTGGTTCAAGAAAGAGAAGAAAAACCCTGCCGATAAAATCTACACTCTTGAATCATGTACGCTAGTTTTTCTTTGTGCAGTGACTGCTATCAAGTCATTTCCGATATATAACGAAAAAAATGTTTTGGCTAAAGAAACATTCTTGAATAATTTTATATCATGCATTGACTTCATAAAATAAGAGTTGTGAAAATTCAAAAAAGAAATGTAATTATCGTATATTTATTACACAAGCGATGTGTACTTCAAATATGTGTTGATCGGCATTGCCGGCGGTAGCTACAAAGTTATCCAGTGTTTGTTATTTGGTTTTTTTTGATTGCCAAAATTCGGCACTTTTGATCATTGTAAATTTTCGTCAAAATTGTGAAAAAAAGATTACTGGTGTATTTTTTTTCTCTACAGCAAAAGTATAATTAATAAACAAATTAAAAATAATCCATACTTTTACGTTTAAAATCCTTTTTGAAACTCACAGTCTCAATGCTAAAAAATATTGTCTAACTAAAGTCTAAGGTCAATCAAGGTCACGCATTATTTACCGACAAGAAATAGAAAAATCATGTTGTGAACTACATGACTGCTGTATGCGGTGAGTGCCTTTGATGTGACAGGTGTCAAAACTTTAAAAAAAAATCAATACACAGCTAGAAAAGGGATTGGACATTTCAGTGTAAAAATTGGGAACAATAAATTTGGATATTGCACATCCTGTCATGGACTTGTAGCAACTTATTATTTTTAAAAATGAAATCATTTAAAGGTACTGTACTTGTAATGCAAACAAAACTTTTTCTTGATATTTTAATTAGCTTAAGTAAAAAATTATCAAAATTTTAATAATAAATTTACAACAATCTATGGTGATCATAGTTAAGAATTTCTTTAAAATGACATGAAAGTAAATATTTTTCAAAAGTTATCCATACCATCCCTTACTGGAATATGGAGCCAAATTGTGGGCTCTATTTCAATGAACCCTAGGCTATCTGGGAAAATGTTTCCCCAGTTCCTACTTAACTTCAAAAATTCAAACCCTAAGTCCCTTGTCAAGTCACTTGCATTATACCTTCATTTAGATATTGTAACTGGTTCACAATTATCAACTCCAGGGAGAAAACAGGTTTAAGCAAAATAGCTATTTTCAAATCAAACTGTTGTTCAGTGAGCTTAATGTTATTCTGTTTCCATGTTCATGTAAAAATGTATTATGTTTTAACAAATTTATCTTAGCAGTCTATATATATATACTAGTAAACACTTTGAAACGCTTTTCAAAATTTAAACAGCAGTATTTCCAAAGGGCTCATAAACTACATTTTCTGCATCTGAAACAAGACAATATATCCTGTATGTGGTCTCAAAAAAAAAAAGAATTTGAAATTGAATTGCTGCACTCCCTTGTTATTCTTCGCCTTCATATTTTACTATTTTGATATGAGGAATCCCTGACATTTAGGAGGAATCCCTGAATTAAATCTCAGGGATTCCTATGGGATCCCTGGTAAAAACAGTTAGTGTCGAACCCTGATAACGGGAGGGGAAATGTCCGGGTTGTGAAAATAATATGGAAGGGGAATCGTCCGGGAGGGGGATTGTCCGGGATTCGGGAGAGGAACTGGTTAGGGAGAGAATAGTCTGTCATTCCTTAAACGTAACTAGTGTCATTTCTTTCCTAAAAATCACATTGTCCCACTGCTTACTCTAATTTTCTTGAAATCTTGACATTAAATACTGATGTAGAAAAAATAGAGATTAACATGGAAAAAAATCAAATTGATTATTTCACAACATTAGACAGGCTAGCTTAAGGTCTTCAGCGTACCCGTTTATATACTATGACATGACGTGAACGCTGAAGATAACCCCATAGGGAAAGTCCACCAATAATCGTGCCAGGAATCTGACACGCTCGTATTTATTCATCGAACATGCCATGAAGTAAAGTGAAGCATACCTTGATAAAACTATATATATTCTGTTGATAAGCCAAGGATGGACAAATAAAAATCTTATTACGAACATAAACTACCTAATAGTTTCCGACAGTCACAGGTAAAATTTTCGTCACTTGGCCGCCATATTGCCAAAATGTTTGATCACGTGATTACGAGATTGACCTTTACGAACCCATGTGCCTCCAATATTTTTATAAATTACTTTTTTTAAAGATATTGAAAAAAGGTGATTTACTGACTTTTATATTCAATACAATCGTATTTAAGTACTAAAAAATTAATGAAAATAAATAAAAACATTATCTTGAGTAAAAGTATCAAAATCATGTCAACAAAATGTTCTAAATATAGTACACGACTCTATTCAAATCTGTTCCCGCGAATGACGTCATACGAGATCTCGAGTGGCACCTGAATGTCATGGCCAACTGTAGTCGGCGTAAATTGATATTTTACAGTTAAATAGTCAATTTTAATGACGGTATTAATATTTTGATACTTTAATTGGTATAGAATGATATTAAAATGATTGTTTTATCGTAAAATGCACAAGAATCGATTGGTCAAGTGTATTTGCAAGTGAAAAACAAGAATAAATCAACTTATGTTATTCTGGTTAGGTTTCGTAACGGGTCTAATCCAAAACTTTAAGGCCGCATCAGATGAAAAACAAAAATGTTAAAAAGCGGCTTATAAAGTTTTGGAAGCCAGAACTATAGACAGGCAATAAACAGTAAATACAGAAAAGATCATTTGAAAATATTAACGCCATCATTTCCAAAACTTTATAAGCCACTTTTTAACATTTTTTTTTTATCTCATGTGCTGCATTAAATGTTTGGATCAGACCCATTACAAAACCTAACCAGAATAACATGCGTTGATTTAACTTTATTTTTCATTTGCAATTAGATTTACCCTACTGTGACCAAATTGATGCTACAGGGAATTCCCCAGGCGCTTTTAGCGCATCGGCACCGATGCGCTAAAATTTCAGAACAAGAAATCCCGATGCGCTTAAAATTATCATAGCGCTTTAAAAAATGACCGATATCCCTTTCTGTTGTGTCTATAAGTTAACCCCAATTAGCCAAATAAACAAGCCAATATACATGTCCTGTGTAGATAATTACCCGAGGCGTATACACAACCCGATACACTGATTGCCTTTAGACTGTGTGACGTCACAGACACCTGTCATCGATGTCTGCAGACGACTGTTGGTGCACTTTCAGGTGTTGTCAATTACCGTGTATTGAGATGGGTGCAATTTAACCGCGGCATGTGTGATATTTACATGTTTCAGGTAGGTGTAATAACTTTTATTGCTTTGATAATATAATTGGCATTAATTGACATGCGATATAACAGTTTGATATTTTGGGATGAATGGGTTAATTGTCTTGATGTAAGTGTAATGTTCAATTTCATCTATCACTTTCCTATGATCGTTACGTCTAAGCAGTACTGTAGACTGTAGTAATAGTATTAAGATTTCAAAAAATAATATGTCTAACATGAATAAGGGAAGCCAAGTTCACTATCAATTTTAAGAGTTTTTTTTTGTGAGCAATGTCGTTGAAACTGTCTCAGGATCATTTCGCTTTTTTTTTCTTTTTTTAATCTTTGATTAAACTGCATAGATATTCAGAAATAAATTTGGTTGATGGCTACCTTAACATTGAAAACATTTACGACTGTTCATTATCAACTTGCAAATGAGTGAAAACAACAACAAAAACTTTACATCAACAATCCCACTTAGTGACAGCCAATTGGTCATTTTCTTTTTTAATTAAAAATGTCTTGTAATCTGTTTCTGTTCAGTGAATCCCCAAAATGAAAAAAATATTAACTTTGCAGGCCCTCTTTAATCGAGCCTGTTCATGGACAGCTTTGTGAAGTGCAATCTACTGTCCTACCCCTTAGCATTGGTTTGTCAGGACATACAGAGAGCTGGCCAGGCACTTTGGTGTAGATATGGAGCAGTGCCGCAGCCACTGGCACCAGGTACGCGCCAGTCTAGAGGGGACTGATCAGTCAGCCGACCAGACCATGACCTGGATTACTGGCAACCTTTCTACCAGTCATCCAGCTCTTTACAGAATTGCTGCTGTAGGTATCCTCCTCCCAACCTCTACTGCAGGTAAGCATTATTAAATTCATTCATTCTTGAACATTAATGAAATTCCAATGACAGTTGCAGATGTGTAACACTTTGCTAGAAGTTTTTCAACATTTCAAATATAATTTTTTTACTTAGTTAAGTTTAAACAGGCTGGAAGTTTTAAATTTTCAAATCAAACAAACAATATAAATAAAAGACATGAGGTTAACATAAATGATTACTTTTATGTATTAATTTCAGATTTTGAGCGAGGATTCAGCTGCCTGAAGAGAGTTAAGACTGAAAACAGGAATTGTCTCTCTTAAAGTTCTAAACTATCTTCTTGCCGTCTCCCTTTAAGGACCCCCATTAGAATCTTTCAACTTTGAGAAGGCAGTCAAGGCATGGAATGACAACAAACCTAGAAGACAGGCCCACTTTTAATGATGTTAATGAAGAAAAAACAACTGAAATATACTCATTTAAATGGGACACACACATACATATAAATGTTGATCACATGTTGTGAACTTGTGTTTATATATAACTGTTAATTTATTTGAATTGTTGGAAATGGAAAAAGTAAATAATAAAAATTAAGAAAATGTTTATCAAGTGAAAAGCTTTCATTATTTGTTTTAAAACAGCCCACAGCAGTATCTTGACACCTTAAATGGCAAAAATTTTCGACACGCGGTATGGGGGTCAAGACCCCCTCCCGCACCCACCCCCGTCTTATTAAAAAAATGTAGCGCTTAAAAAAATTCCTGGGGAATTCCCTGTGCTATGATCTGAACCTTACAGCTACCAGATAAATAGTTCACGTATCGAACACAAATATTAGAACAATACCAGTAAATTAAACATACATTAAGAAATTTTTAAGTATAAAAATCTTAAAATTTACGCTAAGGTTCCCACGTTTTCTACTTTCATTTACAGCGGAAGTTGCCCGTCAGCGGAAGTGTTCCGAATGTCAATTCTAAACTGCTGACGAATGGGATGGTACGGGAGGCAGTTATAGGTCAGACTAGTATATTGATTTACCTGAGACATAGACAAAATGTATGCTTTGAAATTTTATGCTGATCATAAGACTGACATATACTTTATTAATGAAAAAATATTCTAGAGGCATATAAAACAGTTCATTCTCTTAAGAAAACAATGTTGTATTAGTTCCTAAATAATTTTCATGCATGTTAATGTACTATTGTCTCAATGACCGATGGTCAGTTATAACCATAACACTGTTAAATATATATAAGTTTTATTCTAAGTACTAGATCATATGTTTACATATTAAAGAATTCTATTTAACTGTTATCAGAGAGACAAATCTACACTGAGTTAAACCCACGTGACTAGAGAGTATATCATATTACACAACACCCCCTTACTAAAGCTTACAAGTAAGTTCATTCATTTATTACCTCAAATATTTCATTAACAACAAATTTTAACTCTGTGAGAAAACGTGAAATGTAATTTAAATACCAATTATGTTTTTTTAAACACACATTATTGTATAATCATTAAATCCTGTCAACATGTAAGCATTTGTTAAATCAAGAACAACATTACAAATTTAATCTATCTGGGGGTTTACTCAGCCTGCCTGATCTAGTAATTACACCTGTACTCTGATATTGAGACATAATTAGACACTGAATATGTTGGTACTGTAGACAATAACGTTTTTGAGGTGTTATAATTTTCATTGAAAGGAATATCTATTTCTTTATCAAAATCTACTCGTTTATGCAACTTTACTAAACTACGGCGATTTCTTTCAATGGTAGATTTCAGTGTCTCAACTATAAAAGATCGTGGTCGCGAAGCTTTCTTAATTACATTACCTTCTATATTCATGTCTTTCACATGTACTTCCTTTAATGAAGGCAAATTTTGTGCACGTCTTTTTCTGTCATAATTTTGCTTAGCGTTAGCACGGTATGTATTCTCTCTTTTTTTGAAGTACTTTTTAGTTTATATTGCTTGGTAGCAGTTTTTGTGGTGCTTGTGGAAGAGTTGTTTTAATTCGCCTGCCAAATAACATTTGACTCGGACTTAAACCATTGTGCGGTAATGGAGTCGCACGATAGATCGTCATCGCTTCATAAGGGTCGTCGCATTTAGACAATAAGCGTTTTACAGTATTAACAGCGCGATCTGCTTCCGAATTCCCTAAGGGATATCGTGGACTACTTGTTACATGTTCGATTCCGTATTTCAAACAAAACTGTCTGAATACATCAGAGGTGTTTTGCAGCCCTCCATAAGAAACTATGGTATCGCATAGGCCATGTCTCGATAATATTGACTTGAAATGTTCAACTACCGCCATCGAAGACGTTGACGTAAGTCTCGATAATTCTATATATCGTGAAAAGTAATCTACAACTAATAAATATGTATGTCCGCGCCAATGAAAAAGATCTGAACCTAATCTTGACCAACTTCTCCTAGGAAATGGAGTAGATATCATTGGTTCTCTTTTGTCATTTTGAAACTTTGCACAAATATCACAATTCTGAATCAATTGCTGTATGTCACGTGATATACATTTCCACCAAACTGATTCTTTTGCCCTTGCTATGCCTTGATGAGCTTGGTGTAACTTAGACAGAATGTCTAGTCTCATGTCTGTCGGAATAATAAGTCTGTCATTTCTCATTAACAAACCTTTATTCACAGTAATTTCTGACCTATAAGGTTTATACAATTTGGCAATTTCACACGATTCTGTACTAGGCCACCCATTATAGGTATATTCAATTAATTTGCTGCACACATAGTCAGATTTTTGTTCTGATTTAATTTCCTCTAGCCTTTTTTTCTGTAGCTGGGAGACTGGTGACAACTGAGTCAATATACAATTCGGTTTCATTACAATTTTGATAGTCAATAAATGTTAGGGTGTCACATTCAGCACGCGACAAGTAATCAGGAATATACATCAATTTTCTAGGCACAAAGCTTATTGAGTAGGAGAATATTAGCAGTCTCATTCTAAATCTCTTTACCCTTACCGGTAGATCACTCAAGTCCTTTTGTCCTAAAAGACTAACAAGACTTTTATGGTCAGTTTTGATATGGAAATGTTTTCCAATCAAAAGGTCACTATGTCGTTCAGCCCCAGTAACTATGCCTAGTGCTTATTTTCCAAGAACACTGTATCTAACCTCTGTGGGTGTAAATGTCCTTGACGCAAATGACACTGGCTTAAAGTCACCATTGTCTTGTTTCTGAAGAACTACACTTCCGGTAGCATATTTTGAAGAACCTGTCATGAGAACAGTTTCCCTTTTTGGATCATAATGAGCTTACACTGGAGTATTGTTCAAAGTAAGCTTGATTTTATCAAAAGCTTCTTGTTGGTCTGAACCCCAGTAAAATTTTTTTTTCGTACTCAGCAGATCTCTGATAGGTTTCGAATCTGCTGCAAAAGATGGAGAATATTACCCAAATTGATTGATTATTCCCATAAAACTACGTACTCCATGTATGTCTTTTGAAGGACATACAATTTGTATGGCCTTAATCTTGTCCGGGTCTACTGAGATTCCATGTTGTCCTACTAAGTATCCAACAAATTTGATCTGATTTTGCTTTATGACACACTTATTTTCATTCAGTGTTACATTACACTGGTCTAGTTTGTCCAAAACTTTCCTAAGTCTAGTGTCATGTTCGGCCTCTGTCCGTCCGAATACCAGGACATCATCTGTTTGGCAAAGAACTCCTTCAATGCCCTCAAGTATTTGAGATATGCGTTTTTGGAAATATTCAGAACTACTAGATAACCCCATTGGTAAGCGATTAAACGCGTATCTACCAAAAGGTGTGATAAATGTAGTCAATAATTTACTTTCTTGAGCAAGTTTAATTTGCCAAAATGAACTAATAATTAGCGTTTAATTTTGAAAAATATTTTGCTCCAGTTAAACGACCTAAGCTTTGTTCTATAATCGCCAGTGGAAAATTTTCACGTCGCACAAATCAACACATGTGCGCACGTTATTGTCATTTTTAGGAAGGATTTAGCTCAATACAGGATTGGAGCAGTACCTCTAGACGCTTGCAGAAATCATGATCACAAAATAGACAAATATCGTTTTTTTCGCCGATTTTTACATTTTTTCTTGATTATCGTACTTGATTCGGTGTGAAAAGATGAATTAGACCTGTTAAAGTTCATTACGTTGGGTAAAAAACAAGATTTTAGCATTTTATCATTCAAGCGCCTTGTCCGGTATATACCGGAATACGGTATTTAGTGTGGTGCTCCAATCCTTTTTTTAGTCACAGCCTTTTAGGAATACATACCATTCCTGCACACCAATCTGTGCTTTCATCTACTTTAAAAATTATGCCTGCCTTTTCCATACGCTCGAGCTCAGATTTAACTTTCGGTAGCAAAGGTATAGGCACGCGCCTTGGTACAGATAAAGCATACGGCTGCGCGTTTTCATTGAGTGAAAAACGATATTCACCTTCTAATTGCCCTAGCTTGCGAAATAGATAGGATGCTTCTGTTTGACATTTTCAATGGTTTGAATCTCGTCCAAATTTAATTGAATTAAATTGAGATTCTTTATAGCAGGTCTCCCCTAATAAACATCTATCTATGTCTCTTACAACGTAATATATTTTCTTGTGAAGAGTTACCATTGTGTGAAAGAGGTCTGTGTAAATGAACCGATAAACTACCAATTTTTTGTTACCTGGGCCGTATAACGATCTGTGAGTTTTGTTCAATTTTGGTTTGTTTTGACTTTCAGGAATAACAGTCAAATCAGCACCAGTGTCTAATTTAAAGTAGACAAACAAATCTCTCACCCGAAGTGTTATTGTTTCAAGGTTCATCTGGTAACACAGGCCACAATAGTTCCTAAATATGATGATGCGTCATTTTCACACAGTTCATGTACTTTTTTAGTTTTACAACACAATGCGAAATGATTATAATGTCCATATTTCCGGCATATTTTCCCAAACGCTGCACAATGTCCATGTGCATGATATTTATTACAATTTGAACACCGTTTGTTATCGATTTTCTTCGATTGTCTAGATTGTGTCCCCGGAAATTTCTGCGTTTGCATTCTGCTGTCGAGAAACGTGTGGTTGCGGTACCGAACTTCGTTTTGGCTTTTCCCCGCCACGAACCACGTCTGTTACAGCTACATTCTGTTGCGATCGAATTTTGGTTTTTAACTTTTTTCGCTGTTTCTTGCCATTGTTACGCATTTCTCGAGAGTAAGGTCTTGTTCAAGTTTTTCTGACAAATTTAAAAATTTAAAATTCCAACTACGATTCGATCTCTTATTTGCTCGCTTTTCATATCGGCAACAAATTCACAGCTGTCTGCCAACTCGTATAAAGATCTAATGAATTTCTTTACTGTTTCACGTGGCATTTGGCTTCTCTTATGAAATTTTGCTTGTTCGTGAATTATATTTTTCTTTGGATAACAATGTTCGTCGAATTTTGTTAAGACAGTTCCATACTTTTTTGCGTTACTTTCTGATAGTTCAAACGATTTTAATAAATTGTCAGCTTCTTTTCCCATGGTATATACCAGTGTAGCGACTTGTATATCTCCATCTTCTTTATGAAGTTTTGAAGCTGTTCTGTAGAAAGAAAATCTTTGTTTCCAGTTATTCCATTTATTTGGGCTTGAAAAATCAAAGTTTTCTGGAGGTTGTAACTTCGCCATTTTTCTGAAATTTCTTCTAAAATTTAATGCTTTAGTTCTTTACAATTTAATGTAGTCCAGCTAGTAATTTTTAATTTAATGCTTTATTTATTTACAATTGAATGTAAGTCCTTTTTTCCAATCAACAGTGCTTTAATAATTTACAATTGAATGTAAGTACTTTTTTTTTACAATTTAATGTAAATCCTTTTCATTGTTTACAATTTAATGTAAGTCCATGTTTTTCTTCTGTACTTTTGTTGCACATGTGCATCTATGTTTTTAACTTCTGACACCATGTACTATTGTCTGAATGACCGATGGTCAGTTATAACCATAACACTGTTAAAAATATATAAGTTTTATTCTAAGGACCAGAGCATATGTTTACATATTAAAGCATTCTATTAAACTGTTATCAGAGAGACAAATCTACACTGAGTTAAATCCACATGACTAGAGAGTATATCATATTACACAACAGTTAACATCACATTGTCACCCAATCACCTGTTGTCCCATTGAATCTTTCCCAGACAATCGCTGACCGCATAACAATGTAGTAATCTAATCAATGGGTAATTAAAACTGTGATAGAACCGCTGAATGACAAATGCCAATTGCTTAATTTAATTAGTAATAAATACTAAATATGTATTCAAATTCTTTGATTATTCCTAAAATCAATCATATTCCAAAAAAGTTTAGCCTACCAAAGTTAATTCCTTCTAAGGCAACAGTATATTGATAAATATGTAAATAACCAACGGGAGTCCAAGTAGACTAAGTGCCGGGAGCAGATTTATCTTTTAAAAAATTAATTGCAATTTTGCTGATGTCAGATCATCATTCATTCCTTATAGCACTTAAATAATGATGTAAATCAATGACACAGACTTGCAAACGATAAATTGTCGTAAGTGATAAACGAAAATTGTGTGAAAGTGCACCTAAACACTTATAATAATTATGCGTTGGTTGCTTTGAATTTCAAACACGCTAAAATTCACGGGAAAAATTTATCTCGAAAGAGACAATACGATGAATCACATGGCCAGGTGGCTGGGGTTTGAGTAGTGGGGTGGGTGAAGAGGCGTGATTTTCAGCTTTACAGTAATCCAGATTAAAACAAACTCGTTTCAAGTAGATATGAGGTCTAGAAATGAAACAAAATTGAAATCAGATCAAAACATAAGCTATTAAAGAAAATATAGAATATTTTTTTTTTGCGATTTTGCGAGATAGCTGTGCCGTGAAGGAGGTAGTCATGTAACCAAGGAGATAGCTCTATGATGTGAAAGAAGACCACCAATGATACTAGTATTGGAAAGAATGTAAAAAGCTTCCCGTGATAAAATATCTTTAGGATGTTGGTATGATGGGTATTTTATGGAGAAAGAATCCAATTATTTGACTGTTAGGATTTTGGAAATATTTGTTTCATACTAGCAGTTGTTCGTGCTACATTATTCACAAAATGATCTTATTTTTATTGTTACAGGTCCCAACTTCAGGATAATAAGTAAGCTATAATAATGCGAACACTGTGTGCAAAACTAGATTTCACATTTCATATGTACATACAAAATTACCTAACAGCAACATAGTAGAAGCACATTGCTCTTAACAATTTAGCATGCCTGAGAATTTGAAACATCACATAGTAACCGTTCACATGGGGGAAAGAAATATGATTGCGACAGTTGGACAAGAAATATTTGTGTTCCCTATTATAAATGCCCAGGGAGTTTTCATTTAAGCTAACTTAGCTACAGTGTTTCCAGCTATTCAGAAAGCTATGCTTCTTTTTTCCTTTTAAACACATTTAATATCCAGTAATGATGAATAATGAAAATAACGTACACATTGTACAAAAGTGACGCATACTTGAGATGCAATTCTGTGACCGAAAAGAGCACCACGGAAAGGTAATGAACCAATATTTTTGTTATATTGTTATTGTACATCAAATCGAGAGAAGTGAATAAGCGCGTACGGTTCCTTCAGTGTGACGATAACAAATAACACAAATTTATCATCTTTACGTTTCTTTGAAATCTACATGGTTTAGCATTCTTCGAATTTCGATATTTGGTGTAAAATACATTTCATATCCAGTAATGCTGAATAATGAAAATAACGTAATTGTGTTCCCTATTATAAATGCCCAGGGAGTACAACAAATATTTCTGCCTCAGCTGACGTTTGAACTCAGATCTCATTCCAATACAGGAAATTGTTTTCTATCAATTGAATCGTTCCACTAAAGAGACATACATCACTTAGTCTACAATAACAAGCTTATTATATTTTATTATCTTGTAAATAAAAACATGAACATATAGCGAATACAATTCTTTCAAAGAAATAAAGAGTAAGTTAAATAATGAGCACTAGACATAATATAATAGAGAACTGTAAGATGATACTAAATCTAATTATTAAAGTCAAAAGGTAATTATGCATAATTTGAAGACATGAATTTCAAATTTCAAAGCAGTACTGAACCAATCTTAATAAATCTATAGTTTTTATTGTTGTATCATGTAAGGAATAGAGGACAATTACAGGATGTTTGTTATGTGAAATTCTAAGTACTTCATATTAACAAGGATTAAATTACATGTCAATGTCTTTCTCCCATGCTTATGACATGGAAATTCGTTCACCGTGAGTAAAGAAGTAAGAGCTGTCCAAAAGCAGTCCTCTCGACTTTATCAATACGTTATAGTAAACAAGAGCTTGGGTAATGTAAGTATTAACAAAGAGGAAACTTTCATTCACAAAAATAAAATAATGTACATGATATATTGTCATCAGTCTTGTATATTAACCAAAGTATTTGATTCACAAAGTACTTTATTTCAGTCAAAATCCATGCCAGAATGATTGCTCTTGGAATTTGACATTAAATCAAGCTCCATGTTAATACAAACATTATTTGTTTTTTAAAGATTAATGCCGAATAATTTTCTAAATTCATAAAGAGCCATAATTCAGTCTAAATCCATATCAGGTATGCTCTTTGGATAGTCACGCTCAATTATGATAATGAAGAAATGTTTCAAGTGACTCCCAATTATGATCCCAAAATGTTCATTATGTTTCAAGTTATTTTGTATCTCAAATAAGTGTGAAGTTACAAGCAAATATCACTAGTGGTTGATGAGATATTATTTTGCATGTAAAACTTTGTCCAAAACGTTTTTAATTAGACTAAAGCCGTTGACGACGCCAACGATGACGCCGACGCTCGGGTTAGTAGGATTGCCCCACTATTCGTTGGTTAACCGAACTTAAAATGACCTAAGTCGGTTTAGTGGTTTCTGAGTTAATGCCATAAAAGGCATTAAATAATAATAATAATAATAATAATAATAATAATAATAATAATAATTATAATAATAATAATAATAATAATAATAATAATAATAATAATAATAATAATAATAATAATAATAATAATGATAATAATTAATAATAATAATAATAATGACTTGGTGTATCTCACATCTTCTTTTTGACTTAAATCCATGTTATTGGAAGCTGAGTATGTTATATACATTAAAATAATTTATCACACTCATAACTGTGACTGAGAAATACGATTGTTTTAGAACTATTTCAAAAGTGGAGATTCATGTAAAAGGTCTTGTTTATTAAAGTGTCACCCCTACTGAAAGGGCCAGCCATTTCTGACTTATGAGACACCTTTTGCTTGCATACCATGTACCTCCCAACTCTTATCACCATGCCAGGCTCCAGCAGATAGAAATCGGTAACCACCTGAAGTGGCCATTTCGGAACGAGTCCCACGAGAAACATTCAACTTTCAATTAACGCACCCCGTGGGGCTCTAACCTTCGACCTCCCGATCCGAAGGCGAGCGCCTTAACCACTACGCCAACGGTAATGAACATGACTGGCAAGTCTTTTCTCATTGTTTTTTTTATTTTCATTTATTGAACAAAGGGACATGGCCCCTTATTCCATTTTACGGTATGTATTCATTTAATGCTTGTTTACCTTGCATTTGCATTTAAATCATATATATTTATTCTTATATATACTTGGACTGATGCACTGACAAAGGACAGCAGACATTAGGCAGTAATAAAACCTTGGGAACTTAGAAGAGGGCGCTGGACTATTCTCAGCGCTTGAAAGTAAAACAGAAACCTAGACACTAGTAAAATTACTAAAGTTTAATCAAGAATACATGCTTTTCGATATCATCAGAAGTATTTTCTTTATAAGATTAGTGTTGCAACTTGCATCGGAAACAAGAGAATTTTTTAGAACTTCACAGAGGGTCATAATTCAGTCAAAATTTATGTCAGAGCTTTGGGCCTTTGAAAGTGACCTAAGAAAATTATGACTTGTGAAAAGTTTCATGTCAAAACCTTCTGTAGTTTTGAACATTGATCTTGCATGCAAAACACGTTAACAAGTATTTTTTCTAACGTTCACAATGTGCCATGTTTTATACTGCATATGAGTTTACATTCGCGACATAGTTAAAAAAGAGATCGTATCAGTTATGTTATAAATGAAGTACCTTTTCGTTTTATCAATCAATGCATAGTCTATTAATCAATATATGCATTAATTAAGTTTAAACTGCCGTGACCTAGCTATACCGTAGGCCTGACAGTTTTTTTCGCATCAAAACGACAAAACCGGTGTTAAATAGCCGATAAGCACCGCTCAAACCCATACTATTTCGCTTCAATCATGACAAAATAACGCTTTTATTTCAAGTGGAGGGTATATCTGCTGCGTCTTTCAGTATTGAGCTGCTCTCTTCCAGATCCCTCTGTCGCTTAGGTATTAAAATTATTAAACTAATTTAATTATAAGGAAAATTTACTTATTTATCATTTTTATGTCAAAAATTTCAACTTGCAAGGCAGACCAGATTGTATTGTGATTACATCGATGCTCGATTTATCATCCTTCAAACCCTTACCATTGACACAGATATACCTGACGGATTTAAAACTGAATGTAAATATTTCCTT